ATATATTTATTAAAATTGATATTTCAGCAGAAAAACAAATACATCTTTCATATAAACAATATCTCTGATAACCTATCATTATTGTTCCCGGGTGGTTCTATATGTAGATGTCAGGCTTTCTATGAGAACACAAAGAGAAAAAAAATTTTGCCTAATAAAAGCAAACAAAAAAGTCATGCTGCTCTGATTGCCAAAATGCTTTTAAAATTAGCTTAGTTTTGACATGATTTCAGAATGCGTATGAAAAACATTCAGAAAACTACTCATAACTTGATCATTCATCACCATTCTTTATGCTCACACAATATTGGTTAGCTGAAGATCATGATTTTAAATATTTCTTAGATATTCTGGTATTAAAGCTTCAATAAGCATGTAATTGAAATGTGTGAAGGATTCAAGGGGCAATTTTTTTTTCCCCTTCTATGTTATTGTTAAGTGCCATGGAGTTGGTTCTGACTCATTGTGACCCCATGCACAACCTAATGAAACACTGTCCCGTTCTGCATCATCCTCACAATTGTTGCTAAGTTTGAACCACTTTTTCAATTCATCTAAAGGTCTTCCTCTTTTGCGCTGCCGCTCCACGTTACCAAGTATGATGTCCTTCTCCAGGAAGTAGTCATTCATGACAACATGCCCAAAGATAAAGTCTCACCATCCTGGTTTTAGAGCATTCTGACTCTACTTCTTCCAAGACAGTTTGTTGGTTCTTCTGGCAGTCCCTGCTATTTTCAACATTCTTTGCCAACACCATAATAAAAATGCATTAATTATTCTATGGTCTTCCTTACTTACTATCCAACTTTCACATATATATAACTGAAAATAGCAGGTAAAAATGTTGAATAGCTCAACTGTCAACAGGTTCCCTGTTTTGTTGCTTGTTTAAGGTATTGATCCATATTTTAAATGTTAGTATTTGTGTGTTGTGGGCCTGAGTCAATTTTGACTCAAGTGACTTCATGAGACAAAGTAGAACTCTCCTCTAAGTTTTCCAAGGTTGCAAATCTTTACAGAAGCAGAACGCCCGAACTGTTCTTCTGCAGAGTGGCTGATGGGCTTGAACTGCTGGCCTTTTGATTAGCAGCTGAGAAATAAATTACTGTACCACAAGGCCTCCTAACATTTCATAATGCATGAATTCAGAAAAATGTCACCAGTTAAAACAATAAACGTTAAAAAATCAAACTAGGCTCCAAGGACCTCTAGAGAAACGGAACACTCGTAAACAGCAATGCCACCAGGAAAAGGATGAGGACTTGTGGAGACGCAATAAGAGAGGAGGAGTGGTCTAGAGCCAGTATTTGGATAACGCTTATAGTGCATTTAATTAGTCTAATTACATGGTGCTCTTGCTGCTTATTATTAATGCTGACAGAGGCATGTTACTCTGGCCTGGAAAGCTTGGTGGCCATAGTGCCTTAAACTTAACTTGGATAACTTCCATTAGTCTCATAACCCTTGGAACAAGGCATCACTGATAAGTACATGCTAGTTAAAAATGTGATAACTACATTAAACATCCAACATTTTCTGCTTGGTGAATTTAGCTAAGACACGGTGTGTTTCTATGATCATTGGGAGAAAAAAATCAAATTGACAATATTCATTCCAAACCATTGTAATTATAATTAATACAATCACAAACTAATCTCCAAACCCACTGCTGTTTACTTCATCCTTTAGTACTATGGCAGCCGATACCCAATATTTAAAAGACTATTCAAAAATCAACTTGATGCTCACTAGCAGAAGCATGTGATATAAAATTTTTACATAAAAAGCATGCAAATTTCATTACACTGTGAAGCCATTTCCATCTATATTCAGCATGCCTGCAACTTTTCATACTAATGTTAGAGATTTAATGTAACAATTTCCTTGAAAGACTATCTGATACACAGGCTAGTGTGAGTCTGTGGTCCTGTAACAGTTAGGTCAAAATGTTTTTAAAGGAAACTTACTATCAAGAAAATCTAGAGTCATTTTCATTTTAGAAATTCAAACTGCATACATTCTCTCGTTTTGGTACCTTGAATTCCGTAACTTCAATAAACTGTTACTGAGTTAGAATTTTTACTAAATACTCTGCTGTGAGAGCATTTTAAAGGACAGTCTTAAGTCTAAGGTTCAAACCTGGATTGATGGAACAGTATATTTCCCCATTCCTCACTTGAATACATACAGCATCCTGAATACACTCTTAAATCAAGTGCACATGAAGTTTTATTCTGAAATTTGACAATGTGTTTATGTACAGCTTTCGTTTCTTTTTGGTGATTGTCAAATAATTTGTCCTTTAAAAAACTGACTTAAAACATATGTACCTACACTCAAATGGATATAGATGAGCTGAAGTTGGTAGCATATTTTATTTGTAAATTTCCATGGATACTTTTTCAAATGCGTGATTAAAAATGCGAGTTAGATGAACATATGTAGTTGTGTGTTGTCAAGTTGATTCTGACTCACTGTAACCCTGTATAGGGTTTCCGAGGGGCTGCTGGTAGACTGGCAGCTCAGTGCTTATGGCGCCACGTCAGAATTCCAGATGCACATATACAGATGTAAAAACCAGAATTTTTTTTCATATTACAAACATAAGCCTATACTTTGAATAGTTATATCTAGCCTAATTTGTTGTCAAGCAGCATCTCAAATAAATTGAAGCAAACACTCCTTAATATTAATACATCAATAGAGTAAGTGTCCCTGAGAAGAGAGACAATGTGACTTTAAAATAGCTCACAAAGAAATCAATCAAGGATGGGACACAGTACATCTAGGTGAACTCTGTACCAACTGCAAGAAATTGGTCTCACAAATGGAGTCCAACACAAGAAGTATTAAAAGACAGTCAATATAGTAGTGGTGGCTGTGTGCCATAGAGTCAGTTCGGACTCACACTGAGCCTGTATAGGGTTTCTGAGGTCATAAATCTTTACTGGTAGAAAACCTCATCTTTTTCTCACGGAGCCACTGGTAGATTCAAACTGTGGACCTTGCGGCTTGTAGCCCAGCTTTATAATCCACTCTGCTTCCAAGGCTCCTTAGCCCATATAGTAATAGTTTCCAAATTAAGAAATTACTTAGAACTCCTCCAAATCCACTGCCTCTGAGTTGATTCTGACCTCCAGAAATCCTAGGCGCATTGGTTAGACACTTGGTTGCTAACAGAAATCTTGGTGATTCCAACCAAGCAGCCACTCTACGGGAAAAGATATGGCAGTTCATTTCCGGAAACCCTCTGGGGCAGCCTCTACAGCAGAGGGTTCAGGGGGAACCCCAAATGGAATTTAAGATGACATTTATATATATCGACTCATTGAGACCCTGTATAGGGTTTTCAAGGCTTTGAATCTTTGTGGGAGCAGAAAGCCTCATCTTTCTTCCTGGGAGAGTCTGTTGGGCTGGAACCATGGATCTTGTGATCTAGATTCCATTGTTTATCGTCTGTTTTAAAAACACTTCCTGATGGCGATCATGAATGACTATCTTCCAAGCTGTATACTTTATGATGATCATAATTATTTTTTCATAAAGAAGTAAACAACATTAACCACTTAAGAACTAATATTGTTTACATTGGCGTCCTGGTGTGGCGCTGTATGATAAGCGCTAGACCTCAAGGTCAGTTTCAACTGCAAGGTCGCTCCTCGAAATCCTATAGTCATCACTGTGAGTCAGAACTGACTCGATGGCACTTAGCAACAACAACATTGTCATACCAGTTTCATTTTAGAACTTAATCTCAAGAGGAATAGCTCCAATTGAATAATCAACATTACTCTTAAGAAAAATTCACTATGAACCAGCTTCACCCTAGAAAGTCTGTATACTGGCAAGTACACATCATACAATGTTGTTTAATATTAGGCTCTGAAAGGAAAAAATATAAAAACCAGAAAATTAAAATACCCATCTACATAATGCTCCCTTCAACCAAATAGTTTAGCAAAGTCTCAAAGAATTTTCGCAAAAGAAATTCAATTAAATCTGTTTGAACATTGATATAATTTCTTATACTCAAATTTCTGTTGGGTTTTATATTCCCTTTTTTAATATCAAATGTTTAAAGCATTTCATTATTTAATGAGTATGTTACCATAGGGTATATAAATATATATATACCCTATATTATATATGTAAATATATATAAATATCAACCTTTCTATATATTTTCTTATTACTATTTTTAAATACAACAAGCATGACTAAGAGTGTCCAAATAAAATAAAATGACTTCTAACCTGGTGAAAGCACTTGAAAGAATCACTAAGATTTGTAATAAGAATTTGGAATAAATTCTTATGATGTAGTCAGGAAAAATCTATTTGTTGAAACTCAATTATGTGATTTTTGAACTTAGTGATAAAACTACCCATGATGACAAATACTGTAGCTTGCAGCTGCCTATAAGGATACTTGGAATCCTGGTGTGGTGCTATGGGTTAATGTGCCAGACTGCAAAGCCTTTTGAACTGGAAGGTTGGTGGTTCAAGCTCACTAGCTGCTCCTCAGAAACCCTATACAGGGTCGCTATGGGTCAGAACCAACTCGAAAGCCCTTCACAACAACATAGGGATACTTATAATCCTCAAACTACAAAAGTATGCTTTCGGAGATTCTCCTTCACACTGCTGAAAAATCTTTTTTTTTTCATGATTCTCAAATTTGACTGTAGAATTTCTAACCCTTCTTTGCGTTTCTAGTTTTTAAAAAATTTTCAGTAGCAGTATAATGCAACTAACCAATAATTTTCAGTATCATTTCCTAATGAAAAAAGCAGAGTTTGTGTAATAACTAATTATGATACAAAAATATTCTATTGACTTTCAGCAGATAGAGCAATCAGGCAACTTAATTACATCCTTTCACAAATCCATGGGTTATACTACTATGATGTTGGTACCAAAACCAAGTGGGACAGTGGGAAAGACCAGTGGGTAAAAGCCAATTATGTATCATACATAAAAGTGCACATGTTAACTAATTGAAAAAAATTCACATTTATTTACTGTCAAACCGTGTTAAACTTTACACTGGATATTAGTGATGGGCTCATTATTAACAGGTTTACACAAAGGGATGAAAAGAAAAGCAGAATTTTGCTGAAACAATGTACATTTCATTAGAACTTTATCATAAAATAAATTAATTACTAAATATAGGCAGAAGGAATATGGAAGAGTAATATTTATGTTTTATTTTTTAAAAAAAGAATAGGCACCTTTTGTTCACTAGAAAGTTTGTGAGAAGTGCCCAGTGCCCTCTTCGCCATCTGTTCAAGAATAAACAGAGGGGTGACACACAATCTTTTCTAGATTTCACCACATTTGTGCAAGGCATGGCATAACTGGCTTCAAAGAGTTTTCTCCCATAAAACACGTTCTTTTGGCAATAAGAAATTTAAATGTAAGAATAAAGACTAACTTGTCAGAGCAGAACATTGTATACAGTGGAAAATAAGTGAAAATGGGCAGAACTTACCATGACAAAGTGTAAGAAAAAACATCTCATAACATATGTGCAACCAAGAGCTTTTCACAATATTTTCTTCAAACTCTTTAAAATTATTTTAATGACAATTATATTTCAGTTGGACACAAATGTATTTATTTTACCCTAGCAATAGAACAAAATATAATTTCTTTAGCCATTTTTCATGAGAATAGTTCATTGTACAGTTGAGGAAACATATGAAATAAGGCCTGTGGCTTGATTGCTAGTGGTTAAACATGTTTTCAATCTTTGCCTTAATGTAAAAGATTTGCAGTGAACTGCAAACTGACGCAGAATATCTCTCCTGCTTTTCCAAGTCTTGTCAGGAACAGTAAGGTACAGTAAATTTGTCCCACAGGATTTTAAAGCCTACGTCTTGTATATAATACAATGCAGGCCTACAAAAATGGTGCAGCCATATTTACAAATTTAGTTCACAAACTGCTGCAGTTAAATGGCTGGCAAGTTTTGTTTTGCTTGTTTCACAATTTCTCTAAACAGCAGCAGAATCTTAAAATACCTGGTTGGCATCTCTTTTCTTTGTAACAAATAATTCATTTTAGTATACTCTGTGTATATATAAAGTTTTTGTATGTTTTATAAAAATTCACAGAACTGCAAGGTTCAGTCATCTTTTTTACACTGGAGAACCACAGGTCAACAGAGCTGTCTCTTCAGCAGAGTTTGAGGGAGTTGGGGCCATTGGAGTCTTTCATTTACTTATTAATACTTGCATTGTGGCCCTTGGGGTTTCTTAGCTGCACTATTAAAGACTTGTGACCAGCTGCATTTGTCCTTCCCTAACGTCTCCTTCTGGAATACAGCCTTCTTTGTTAATGGGGATTATATAACCATCACTATTGCCCCTGCTGATCTGGTAGCACATCTGAAGCTGATGGCCAGCTCCAAGATTTGGCATGCTTTTATAGTAAATGTCCTCATTCTCACTCCTCCTGGAGGGAGAGAGGTCTTCTTCCACATCAGGGCTGCTCTCCTGATAGGGAGAGTCTCTAAGATTGGGCATGCTTGTATAAAGAGAGTCCCTGTTGGGGGACTGGAGGTGGTCCTCAGCCTCAGCTGTCAGCTGTGAGACATAGCTGTCCGTTCCCTCAGGTTTCACTTTCTTCTGGGGTTGGTACAGAAGGGAGTGAGTCCGTTGAGGAATGAGCGGTGCCTCGAGTTCTTTCTGATGGAGCTCCAGCCCTGGGTTGTCTCCGTGCATTAAAGATGAAGCGTCTGCCACGATTGCATCATCTTCACTGCTGCTCCCTCCAATCATAGGTTTGACTGGTAGTGTGAGCTCGAGATTGTGAGTCTTGCTGCCGCCCCGTAGGTTGTTGTGCACTAATTCTGAAATGATCATTTTCTCAAAAGCAGTATCATTCAGACTTAGTCCACAGTCTACGACTTGTACGCTGTCATTATAGTCCCCCTTGCGCAGTGAGTAGCTGTTGTTAAAATTACCATTTAGCGGTAGAGTATCCATGGCACTTGTATCCCTGGCATTGTTCAGTGAATGTCCTGCAACAGAAAAGGGGGAATTTCTGTTACAGCCTCGGTTCCTTTCAGAAGAATCTGTATATTCTTTTGTACAAGACTTTTTAATGTCGTTCAGGACAAAGTTGTATTTGAAAGCTAACACTTGAAAAGTGCCAAGCTTTCCAGCATTCCCAACTGTAAACAGTTGTAACCCCTTAGATAACAGGAAAAAATGTTAAAAAAAGTAATACTGTTTTCCAGGGAGGGAAGATGGCATACAGAATATTACTTTATCAATTTCAGGGAGGCAATAGTTACCAATTCATTTTTGGTCAAATCTCTGACACAACAAAGAAGACTTCACTCCATGCCCTTGCATAGTTAATGCAAAGCAATCCATTGGTGACGTTTACATTTTAAAGTACAAGACTATGGTTTATAAAAATAAAATCAACAGAATTTGTCCTAAACAACACTAAATTAAAAAAGAATAAGTCACATACAAAAAACTGAAGGCAAATGTACAACATAAACCCACATAACTGGCAAGCAACTTTTTAAACAACATTCTAACATTTCCTTTTTCTGGAGATGAAGTAAAAAAAAGAATGAAAAAAAAATGGACAGATACAAAGAATTTGTGTTAAACAAAGACAGCCATCTCTCATACTAACTGGACCAGGGGCCCACAAGCACCATCCAACAACACGATAGACAGCAGGTGGAATGACTCACTTTGGACAACTCACATCATGTCTGTCTGCTCAGGCTATCTGGCCTAAGAGTAGCTGATATATAAAAGAAAGTAAAATGATTTATTGTAACATGATGAAGAATTTCTAAGCTTCTCAGCAACTTAGTCAGAGCAAGGGTTCAACAAATTAGATTACCAGCAATAGCAGTCTTTTATTTTGTCATTTAAGATTTTTTTGTGTTTTGAGATTTTGGTAGTAATACTCTCACTAATAACAATGGCCCCAGGCTTCTAATGGTCAGAGTTTGCCTGCAGCCCTGCAGTCTGCATCAGTCACAGTGACAGCATCGAATGAACCAGCAGAGTCTATTGTACAAGGTTGGCCCATAGACACCATGGGCATGGAGATCAGACGCAGAAATGTTAGAGATTTCTTAAGCATGGCTCACAGAAACCAAACCAAGAATAAATATTAACTATGGAATGGGAGAGAGTGTCAGCCTTGGCTAGTTTATTTTTATTTCTAAAGGAATGAACGATTGATTAAGTCTGCTGAAGATATGAAAAGAGGTTTAGGAGGAAAAAAAACATGGTAACATGCTCTATTTGTCAGAGTTATATTTTCTACAAACACATAAACATGTAAACTAAGACATCACAGTGCTTCTCAGGCAAATGGAGGAAAAAAAAAAAAAAAAAGTTCTAGAGAAAATTATATGGTCCGCACCATGTAAAGTTAGGTTATTCATTCTCAAAATCCTAGAGAGAAAAAAAAAAATCACTTGTCTACAGATAGGTCTGGGAAAAAAAAAAAAAAAAGAATGAAATGATGTTATTGAAATGAAACTGACCACTGTGAGGCTGCTGCATTGTATGCAAGGCTTGGAGGAGTTTAGGAAAAAATTCGATTCTTGGAAAAAATAGTATATTTTTATATTTAGCGCTCACTCCACTCTTAAAGCTGCAGATTATCCTAGAAAACACACTTTCTTTCAAATAAAAATCTCTGCATTGTCTAGAGTAAATTTCATGTATAATTTGTGTCTGATGGTTATTGGATAAATTTTCATTAACAGAAAATGAGCAAATGGGAGGATTACATTTGTTAGAGACTCTTGTTATCTTTAAAACTCTAACACAATTTATACAACTGTACACTTGACACTTCAATTTGTAACACGTTCCATGGGTAACAAAATAAAGTCGTAATGGTCACTTGTAAAGTTTTTTAAGATCTGTTACACAATTCTCTCGCTTTATAAATTTCCTTGTGAGTCCCAAGACAAAACATTAGGTGTTTTCAGTTGCTGGCGACACATGGATCGCATGCTCGCATTTTGTTTCTTCTGCAGAGAATCAATCTAGTTAAGACATTGTTTCTTTCTTATTATGGTTTAATAATGAGAATAAATACTGGATATGCCAGGTGTTTTCTATGATATACTGCAGATTTAAGCACTTCTTTGACTGGTTTTGAAGAGGCAATTTTTTTCTGCCCAAGTTCAGGTATGAAGACTTTTCCACAGCCTGTAGCAAGATGACTGTGGGAATTCAGAGATGATAAGTCAATTAGTACGCATTCTGGTTGACAGTACTTCAGACTTTACAGAGCAAATTATTTCAGCATTGCATATACTTAAGTATGGACAGCATTTGCTACAGACCTTTATTACTGACAAAAGCAGTACACAGGTGTACTGTTTGAATTTGGAAACATTTTAGTTGCAAATTGTGAACCACTTGCCCGCTGAGTCTACTTCGTGACTGCTAGTAAATGTTTTAATTGTGCCCGTTAAAAATCATGCTGAAAAAATTTACATTTGATAGGCAAAGTTAAGTTTTACTCCCATACTTGTCTCTCTGTAGGTTGCTAGAGGAAAGCATAAGGAAAGTAAGAAAACAAGAGAATGAAAAGAGAAGCTGCAGTTACGTTAAAAAGAATTTTAAGGAAAAAAAAGGAAACAAAGTTCTGTGTTTAATTTAGTAGCAAGTATTAATCACAAATAAAGATTATATGCTAGCAGTAATTAGTCAATAATTTTGACCAAAATCTTGAAATTTCTGTTAATATAAAATATATATGCTTTTTAAAAAACTGCTATAAGAAAACACAGTAATACAGGATGGGTTAGTGACAACCCACCCCAACCCCCAGTAAAAAAAACTATCAGTATAAACTGACTAACAATAACTTTATTCTCCACGTTTTCTTAAGAAAAAAGGAATACTACCATAAAGCTGCACTATACTATAGTTTATTTATATTGATAAAGCTGGATGTAGTTTTCTATACCTAGGCATCCAAGTTATATTAGCTAATTCATTCCAAAAACAAATTTTGTCAGCAAGCTTTAGAGTCAACTGAACAGTATATTACATAGATAGGATACCTCTAAATGATATAAATCTTGAAGATGGGCTCTCAGACCATGTGATGTCAGTCCTGTAATAATATATTAAGATTTATGCCACCTGTGTTAAAAACATGGATAATTATTGGTAATTACTATCATGATTGAGGTTTTACTATAATATAGTGCAGTTTTAGAAGCCTGGCATGGGCATTATCACATTTTTTTTTAATTGAGAATTTCAGGATATAATAACAAAGCTATGGCAACCTGAGTCTTTATTTTAGAAACAGGGTCAAGATCAAAGCTCTGTTTAGCAGCAAAGATAGGTAGTTTTATTTGTAAGTATAAGCACACCTGGTGAGTTAAATACAGGAGCTGAAGGGGCATTACATACAACTGTTTCAGCGAGCAATGTGTTATAGGGGTTGTTAGTGCCGTGGGGTCGAAGAAGAGGGTTTGTTAGTAGGTAATTGCCAGTCATTCCTAAAGCAAAGAAACAGAAAAAAATAATCAGTTCTCTTATTTTATTGTTACAGTTGCACTAAAGTATTTTTTTGTATTCAGCAAGGGTAGCAGACAAGTTGGCAATGGATAATCTGCTGAAATGTTCTGACTGTATTTGAACTACTAATTTGGAGGAGAAAGGGGAGAGGGAAGTTAAATTTCAGTAATTCACAGGTGCTTTCTAAGTCCCCCAAGTAAACACCTGCTGGGGATGACATTTACTAATTTATACAAAATCACTGTTAAACAAAAATGGCAATTAAATGCATAAAGATCAACATTATGTTTCAAGATGTTGCTGCTCAATATTAAAAACATATCCACTGAGGCCCAGAAGAGGGAATCTCAAACTTTCTGAATTTACAGGTGTGGGATTATCCCTCAAGAAAACATCTGTGTTAATACCAACTTTGATACAAGCAGGAGAAAAACAACTTTCACAAACAGGTAAAACAATTACGACATACTGCAAAAAGCTTCTCTTAGTATATGCAAAAGCACACATGCCAAGGGAAGGAAAAAAGCACTGTGTACACACAATGAATTATTAGACCATTCACAAATTCTAACAGTAAAACATTTCATTCCATATTCTTATTTGCCAGGTTTCAAAAATGAATCATTGAATAATTCATTTACTTTTTTGATAGTCATCTTAACAAAATTAGATAAAACATTAGAGCAAAGGAATAAGCACACATTTCACTCATTCTAATTGACAAATTACAAACCTTTCAATACTTATCAAACATTTGTTTGCATGGCTAATGTAATTTGACTAAAAATGTTTTAAAATTCAGGTTGGTTTAATAATACTTCTTTTTTCATTTCAAACCAAAATCTTAAAAACAATGTCAATAATTAAATATGTCACTGTAATAAAATATAACTTATACATCATACTTTAAGTCAGTAATCAACGTGAAATTACCTGGATAAATTACCTTCCCAAGGTGACAGGAAAAAAAAGAGGAGGGGTTTTTCCATACCAAATTGAAATTTACGAAGCTTTTATTCAGAAATACATGTGTTTGCATGTGTGTCTACATCTTGCTTAATTATTTTATTTCCCAATGTATTTTAAGTAAAACTTATTTGAATTTAGACTATAAATTTAGCACTGCAATTGTACATACATTGAAAACTAGCCATTCAAATAGAAAAAAAAGTCGCTTTTTTTTATATGCCCTTATTTATTTTAATTTTATTTATAAATATTTGCCATAACTTTTTGAGTAACTTTTATGTCTCACTTTCTGAAAGAAATGTAAAATGAAAGAATTTAATAATAAGAATCTTAACTGCAAAAAATAATACTATTTAATGTGAACAATAATTATGCTAATAAATTAATGTTTTCAAAATAAAATATTTATAAATACATTTTGGTTAGAAAGGATAAACTTACGCTCCCTAGGAAGTTATTTTAATGTATGGGAAAGTATGCTATCAGTGATAATGTTTTCCAGTCTTTCCATGTAAATGTAAAGTTTAAAATTTTATTTTTTATATTCACATTACTGAATAGAAAGAATTTATATGTTCTTAAGGAACTCTAGTAGTGTAGTGGTTACGAATCGGGCTGCGAACCGCAAAGTCAGCAGTTTGAACTACCAGCTGTTCTGCGGAGAAAGATGAGGCTTTCTGATCCTGTAAAGATGTACAGCCTCGGAAACCCTGTACTGGGTCGCTATGGGTTGGAACTGACTCGATGGCACTTAACAACAACAACAACAACAACAACGATACGAAAGGTTGGCTCAACAGGTTTAAGAGCTTGTGATATAAACCCATTTAAGAGAAAAGGTTAAGCATTTTCTCTAGACTCGTTGTAAACTGGCATAAATGACAAAATTTATATTGTAAACTCAAATTTTCCTGGTAACTGACCTTGATTAAGTGTCGAAGTGCTATTGATGTCACCTGAGATAAAAGAAGATTCAGACTGTTTTCTCACAGTGTCATTCCACATCCTTCTTATACGACTCTATTAATATAAAATAGCAAGACAGATGTTATGTTAGTCCCTCCAGCCTTAACTTCATAGATGCAAAAGATATACACTGAACAACATGGGTAGCACTCATCTGTTGGCCTTTTGGAAAATGTGTGTTGTTTCTGGCCTAAGCCTAAAGAAATCTATACTACCCTATTGATTAAGGACATTTAATCTTCTATTCCTGAAGACATGATTTTTAAATTTATTTTTATTTTTAAGGTGGAGGTAAGTGATCATTCAACAAATGTTTATTGAGTGCCCATTGTGAGCTAGGCATGTACTATATAAGCTTCGGATAACAAAACAATCATAATGTGTCCCCTCAAAAATGGAGGTTTACACCTAATGAAACATCTTGAAGAAATGTTTCAAAATACATCAAACCCAAATTACTGAAAAAGCAAGTATTTGCCATCTAGATCATTATAATGAGAAGACAATTAGTGCATCTAAAGAGAACATGTCTCAATAGGCTTTCTATAAATAAGGTTAATTAAAGATGTTGTCAATTCTTTGTTACCTGTGTACCAGAGGAATACCGAGCACTGGTTCTGGTGGTAGATGCTTTCACTGAACTGTGGGGGCTCTCAGTTGGAAGGCCGCCACAGCAATATGAATGTCTGAAGCACTTGCCATACTCTTTTCGTACCTGCATTGAATAATCAATCAATCATGAGACCGAGGGATTAATATAAACTTATCTCTGAGTGCTCTCTCGCTTCAATTAAATCTATAGTGGAGACAACCAAAAAGAACGCAAGTTCCACTATGACATAAACCACGGAGAAAAAAAATCAAACTTGCAAAATCAGGTTCTAATGAAACTGCTAAATATTAATCAGAAACATATCTCTGTCAACTCTACTAGCTTGTAGTCGTTTAAAAATATGGCATAACATGTAGAAATGCTTTATATCCTGTTATTATTCAAATGCTATGTATTAATTTACAAAAATGAAATTTTCTTTTAAAGCTTAATTCTACCTATGTACTTAGCAACCTCATTTTTTTTTTTTTTTTTAATTTCATGCTACAAAAATAGGGCCAAACATTTGGTATTTTCTATGCTTAATTACTTTGAACCATTCTGTAATTCAGTCATTGAAGTTTTATATGCTTCACATCCTCTTAGGTAGGTCAATTCATAAGCGTCTTTTACAGGATTGCACAGTTTTGTGGGGAACCTTTTAATAATGACAAGACTTCTTTGGCACAATAATAAAGAAAAAAAATTACTTGGAAACATTTTCCATTAATGAGGATGGAATGTTTTCTTCATTTTCTGATGTGTCTAGCTTTACCATTTAGTGTAGAGAATCTAAGATGTCTATTCACTTCATTAGCACACAAGGGAACTATTTATGTAATTTCCATTCACATTAATGAGTTACCCATGTAATTTCCCTTTTCCCCTGAAGCTTGTATATATGAATAGATAGAAAGCTGCTAGGCCCAAAAGAAAGTTCAGTTTAAACTTAAAAAGGGGAAGTCAAAATAACTGCTAAATAATAGGGCCACACCCAGAGTAGTGGGTATAGGATTGCAGGGGGCAGAGCTAGTTTGTATGTAGGTATACTGACTAATAAACATGTTTTATTGTGATTTAGAACCAGACTGAAATTACATGACAGACATGAAAGAGAAGTTGAAAAGAATAAATTATAAAAACAACCACAAAACACACACAACACTCAAAGGTTCCCCCTTCAGTTCTGTGTTTGGTATCAGCCTGTAAAATCCATGCCTTTGACACTTACTTCTTGCAAAATTAGAGAAAGTAACTAGATGACCTTTAAAATCCAAGTGCACTTGCATTTTCATCCTCTCAGCTTTATTTAATTACATGTATTAGAGCAAATAACAATGGAGTTAGCTTTCAAAGTGTTTCTTTGCTTAAATATGCTCAGTCAAGCAGTGAGAACCACAATTTTAACTTAATCATTTTATATCATATTCTTAACAAACCATCCTGGCAGCACCCAATAGAATGTACCAAGCCTATGTAGAACATGTTCAAAAGAAGTGCAGGGCAAACCTTTAAAACATAATTGCTAATCTAAAAGGTATAGTAAAAATCCCTTTGTTCAATTAATACACAGAGCCAGAAATAATGACTACCTCACTCTTTTTTCTTAGTCTATGGTTTATGTCAAAGACCTTCAGCAAAGTAGCATAAAATGTATAGATATGAAATCATATATATGCACACAACACTGTTGACTGATGTAGCAATACCTTAAAAACAAAGTAATTCTTCAGGTTATCCCTGTAAAATGTCTAAAAATTTAAAGTTTATTGTTATCAACTAAAACATGATACCTCAACAAGCATTTCTGTGCATTTAATTGCGATTAACTGCCTTGAAATGCCATATAACCAAGACAATGGCAATCAAAATGGTATTTTATCCAAATAATCCCCTCCAGTGTTGGTTTTGCCTAATGCCTATATTGCTGTGAATGTACATTATCTGTCAGTATTGCACATTCCACTGTCATTATCTCAAAATTATAGCTTATTCAACACTGATGGAAGTAACAACACTATCATCTTGTCAGTACTGAAAACATAATAGTTTTCACTTTCACAATTCTATTTCTCTGTTCAATTTAGTGACCAACTAGTAATAACAGAATAAAAAGACTGCATTACATATGCAGACAGGGAAAGGATGATACCTAGTAAAAGGCATGGAAATTTTAGAATTAAATGGTGGCGAAACTATTCTCAAGTTTACATCCTCTTGCTACAGATTTAAGTTCTTCATACTTAGCTTTCATTTTTGAGTATTTTGTCTGAATGTCCAGAAAGATATATAAAATTAATTTATGATTAAAATATGTTATTCATTAGTATGCCCAGCTACACTTAATTCTTTTCTACTTTATTCATTTACTTCTAATCCAAGAAGACGCCAGCAGAGCTCAGAAGTGTTTTCCACTCACTTACTTTCTTTTGGAGAGCACAGTGAAAGATGAAAATGAACAATCCCTGGAAAGCATTAAAGATGGTGAAGAGATAAGCCATCACAATAGTCTCTTCGTTAATAAAAAGCAACCCAAATGACCAGGTTAAGCCAAGAAGACACAGGAGAGCGAAAGCACCAAGCACCCAAGACCTGAAAAAATAAAGTGAGTTTTATTAACAGGATCAAAGGGGTAAACATACAACACATTTAATATTAACAGTTCAGTAGTAACAGTTGACTTTCTTTTCTCTTTATTTCACAAATTGAACAGCATTTTTGTTTTAACCTTACATTGATTAAAGAAAGAACAATAGCATTTAGCACAGCAGATTCCAGTAAAAACAGCAACAGCAGGTATGACCTTTTCTTACTCCAGAAAAACCAAAGTATCAAAACTATATTAAAATACAAGGTGTAAAACAAACTTCAATGACTTTATTCTCTCTTATGTGCATTCGGGCAAAATAACTTAAGGAGTCCTTAATTAGTTTATGCCTATGTTTTGATTCCTGTGCTGTATTCATATAGCACTGAATAATGTGACACACACAGAAAGGTTAAATGGCAGATAATCACTTCACATCTAAACTTCAGACTCTAATAAACTGATCTTAGGTGAGCCTAAGGTTTATAACTAAAGCATGAAGAAGCCTAGCTGAAATGGGACAAAAACATGAGAACAACTTCAAAATAAAATAACTTTGGAGAGATTTCATCATGAATAGCTTAAGGAGAAAAGAACTTTAGAAAAACAGGAGGGAATGAGAAGGATTTAAAGTCAGTGCATTCCATGTCTAACTAATGATCTTACTTGATAAATGGCTTATTATCTTCATAGCTAGAAAGCATTATAAGCAGAAAAGAGAAACAAAATTATTAGACAGAATTAAAATAGAAAGTAATAGAAAGCATTTATATATTTTATAAATTAGTCAAAATTAAGAAAGTCAAAATGCAGAGGCAAGCAATTAAAAAATAAAGGCATATTTATAGTTTAAAGTACTATTGCAAATTAGATATTCCAAAATAATTATAAAAATTAAGGGCAATTCATGATATTGACGAATTGTAAAAAATATAAATCATGCCATAAATTTGTTAATGTAGGGTTCTACCTTACCCAGGTAAGTCCGTATTATAGTAGCCATCACAAACACGGTAATTACTGGTGTAGATGAGAAGATAGAAAGAGGAAAAGAAAGAAAAGAGAGAGATGCTAAAGATTAGCTCTCTCTCTCTCACCATGCAACATGCAATGAAGCTGGCACTAACCTATCTCAAGCATGTAATTTGTTTAAAAAAAAAAATCTACCCTTACTATAAATCTGCCATTTTTTTTACATTGAAAATATTTTTTTCATAATCCCACTATAACCAATTTGAATAATGCCACCTCAAAATTTAAAGCTTCATTTAAAAATAACTGAAGATGCTTCTTTAATATGATTTAATGAAGCAACAGCTATCACATTTTTGTTAATTAGATAGCGGTTTTTTTTTTCCCCCCATTGATAGTTTATTGCACTTTTTATTCAGGATTGAGATAAAATAAACATTTCTTTAATTAGCATGAAAACAACAGATAATCTTCAAGTTAACAATAGTAATAGAGTCAATTCTCTTAGGAGACAGGATTAGGAGTAGGAACTGCTCAGAATCCTTAAATCGAAAAGTCATTTAACAAAACAAACTTAATATAATCATATCAGCCATGCAAGCAGGAACATAATTTTAAACTTCATTTTAAATTCAAATGAAATTGCTACAGTGATGTGGAATTTCCATGAAGCCACAGAAACAGTATCTTGGCTCTGTATCAAGACAGACAATATTATCTAATATTTCGTCAATGTCTGTGACATGGTTAATAGTAAGACTCAACCTTGATCAGTATAATTTCATTTTGAATAATTTCTACAGTTGACAGAAGGTATTCCTGTGTTCCCTGCGGAGAATATCTTTAACTCAATTTTGTCAAGTACTAAAATAAAAATACAAAACACTTACTTAATGTTTTCCAATCTGCTAGAATCTGGTTTCAAAGTGTTTGAGTGCTTCACCATTTTGCACAGTGTGATCACCAGGAAGATAATATTAAGCTGTTATAACAAATAAAAAATTAGACTGCTTTGAGCAATTAGTAAACAAATAAATTAAATTTTTTTTCTTTATAATAATGCCGTTAACCATCAATGACATGCCTATATATATATATATATATATATGGTAGATACTGATTTAACTTTAACTTATGTGCACAAAGATTGATTCAAGCCTGTATTTAAAAAAAAGAGAGAGAGATCTGGTTTGGTACTATGGGATAAGCAATGGACTGATAAACAAAAGCTTGGCATTTCAAACCCACCAGCCTTTTCAGGAAACTCTTTAGGTTGGAACTGACTCAAAGGTATACAATAACAACATATATAAAAAAGACTCAGTGTATGATCAATTCTTTAATAGATCACTTGACATGAAACTGCAACCTCATTATGTCATTATTATGTGGCAGTGATTATTCATAAATCTGTTTCTTTAGCTAGAGTACTCCAGGGATTCAAAGTCATGTGATGGAAACATTGCAGTGAATTCTATAGAATAAGGATTTATACTTTTGTAACTTATTATGGAAAGATCTCTGAATTTAGGAACACAAAATTTGGTTAAGAACACACAGCTCTCAAGTTTGACTGTTTACCTAAATGACAGTAACATTTGTACAATATAAAAAATATTAGTTATCTTTAGTGGTGGTGTGTGCTGTCAAGTTGATTCCGACTTACAGGGACACCCTGTGTAAGGTTTCCGAGGCTGTACATTTTTACAGGAGCAGAAAACCTCATCTTTCTCCCTTAGAGTGGCTGGTAGAGTCAAACTGCTGATCTTCTGGTTAGCAGCCCAACTCATATCCTACTATGTTACTGGAATTCCTCATTATATTAAGTAGGCAATTTAAAAAATATATATTTAATATTTGGTGTGTTGGTGTGGCATTGTAGGATAACCACTGGCCTTTTAACCATTAAGGTCAATGATTGTAACCCACCAGATGCTTCTTGGAAACCTTATACAGGGTTACTATGAGTTGCAACTGATTTAAGTATACTTAACAATAACATATATAGTATTATCCTGTTGTGGTGCAGTAGGATAAGCAGTGGACTGAAACGGTTGGTTTGAAACGCAAGGTCAGCAGTTCAAACTCACCAGCTGCTCCTCAGAAACACTATACAGGGTTGCTAGGAGTTGGGACCAATTTAAAAGTACTTAACAACAACATCCTGTTAAAAGTCATCAGCTCCTTTTTCCTGATGGCTCTATACTACATGAAAGTAGATGGAGTCTGAAAAAAGAATGTGGCAAGTACACCAAAAGATTCAGCTGTGCAAAAGTTAGCTAGGTGCAAACAACAACAAGCTGGGGTAGATGGAAACGGACACAGGAAGGTCTGGGAATCCAAGAGGTCAACAAAGAAGGTGTGTTTCGAATAAGGAAAAACAAAGGCTACAATTTGCATGGCTTCACCCAGACACTAGACAAAGACTCCTAGACATAGGGGTGATAGTTATGTATTTTTTAAATCTTTAAAAATCGAGTAAAGCTAGGTCTATCCTGGATTTTATTTAAACAACAACAACACAAAACAAAAAACCCAGCCTTATTTACTTGTTGCTGTTGTTAAGTGTCACCGACTCAGTTCCAATTCATAGGGTTTCCCTTGTGTGGCTGGTGAGTTCAAACCAATGACACCTCAAGGCTCAAACTGACCTTTCAGTCCAGTGCTTATCCTACAGTGCCATACCAGGACTCTGGCTTATTACTTTAAAAATTAAAACTCCTAAATGATTTTGTGAGTTTTCATGACTTAATCTGAGACTGCATGGCCAAATGGCCTATTCACAAAATTACTCTTATTACATGGGGATAAGTTCTATTCCTTTTTGGGCAAATATAAACAACACTGTTGGAGTAGCATGGTTGTTGTTACTGAGTCATAACAACAAAACGAGAGCATTATTTTATTCATTCACCACTGCTTCTGGCTTTATAATTAAGAAAAAATAATATAGGGCAATAAATTAGAATTTCTAAGTCCTCAAAATGTGGATTTTAAAGACTGAGTGAAAGCTTTAACATAAGCAATATATATGAATCCTGGTGTGGCGCTGTGGATTAATGCACAAGACTGCAAAGCTGTTTGAACTGCAAGGTCGGCGGTTCAAGCTCACCAGCTGCTCCTTGGAAACCTTATACAGGGTCGCTATGGGTCGGACATGACTCGATGGCACTTAACAACACACACAGATTATATATATATATATATATATATATATATATATATATATATATATATCATGCCTAATAATTTCTCTTAGATGCACAATTATTTCTTAGGGATAAAAAGAGGTTAATGAGCATACTTTGTACAGGTAGCATCCTATCCATCGTTCTTTATTACTTGGGGGGAATAGTTCTTTGTTTTTTTAAAAATATTTTAAAATACTTACCTATAGAAAAAGTAAATAAACTTGTGGAAATTTTCCCTAGCTTTATTTTCCTAAGCTTATTCCAGAGGATTACAATATAAATAAATGCTCACATTTTCAGGAATATTTACAATATATTTTAATGTGCAAACACTTACTGACCTTCCTGCTATAAGGATATGATTGCTGTGTTTCGTAAAATATATAATTTCTGTCCTTGAGAAATTAGAGATAATTCTGCTAGTACTATTAAGTATCAGATAAATTTTTTAAGAATCATGGTAAAACTGAACACTAAGTTTTTAAAAAAGTAAAATCAATATCGTTTACTTTTTTATATGGCAGTTGTTAAGTGCTGTGTCGAGTCTGGTTCAACCCACAGTAACGCTACACAGGGTTTCCTAGGAGCAGTTGGTGAACTTAAACCACTGACCTTTAAGTTCAAATTGACTTTGCAGTGCAGCACATTATAACCCTCAGCATGCAGTAGACGCAATAATATGCTTGTTTTTGTTAAGTGTTGTCAAGTCAGTTCTGACTCATTGTGACCCTGGTAGCATAGTGGTTACAAATTGGACTGCGAACCACAAGGTCAGCAGTTCGAAACTACCAGCTGATCCGCAGGAGAAAGATGAGGCTTTCTGCTCCCGTAAAGATTTACAGCCTCGGAAATCCTATACAGGGTCGCTATGAGTCAGAACCGACTCCATGGCACACAACAACAACAGTAAGTTTTCCAAGGAATAACTGATGGGTTTAAAGTGCCAACCTTAGTTATCAGTCCAGTGCTTATCCTACAGCACCAAACCAGAACTCCTATTAAGCTGTTGTTGTTGTTAAGTGGTATCGAGTCATTTCCGACTCACAGCGACCCTGCTTAGGGTTTCTGAGAGTGGCTAGTGAGCTTGAACTGCCAATCTTGCAGTTCAAGCCAACCTTGAAGTCTAGTGCATTAATTTAGTGTTCCTTACTTTCAAAGCAATATATATACAATTGTCCCCTAAAAAATAATAATTCTCCACTGTTGTTGTTGCCAAGTGCCACCCAGTTTGGTTCTAACTCACAGCAACACTGTATAGGGTTTTTGAGTAGTAGCTGGTGGATTTGAACTGCCAATCTTGCTGTTAGCAGTCCAGTAATTGTCCTATTAATATATACTGTAACATATAATCTATATTGTATCCAACATAACATATATTACCAGAAAAGTAAAGTGTGGAGAAAGTGGACATAGAAAGTATTATGCTATGAATAGAAAATGAGTCTTTGGAGTGAACACACTGGAACCAATCTTGGATTCCATAAAGAAAAGCAGATAAAATTCCTATTGAGAACTGAAACATTTTCCAATAAAATAGAAATAAAAACCAAAATTTACCTATTTGTAAAAATACAATTCAAGTTTATATATGATGCAAATAATTCTTTCTAGCCAAGACTTGTGTGTGAGGCTGAATGGCTACAATATGCCAAAGAAAACAGTACCTCAGTTATTCTATGAAAAAGTCTCTCCCTCCTTCCTCTCCCCTCAGCCAACTGAAGTTTTCAAAATTATATGTGTTTGTGTTTCTATCTAGTTATAAATGTAGTATGTTCGCAACACAAAATTCAGAAAATTAAGAGGAGAGGAGAGAAACAATTCTAATCTGACTTTCCTTGAGGTAGCAGGCACCTATGAAATACTGAGCTCTGGTGGTGTACTGGGTTATATGTTGGGCTGCTAACTATAAGGTTAGCAGTTAGAATCCACCAATTGCTCCACAAGAGAAAGATGAGGCTTTCTGTTCCTGTAAAGATTTACAGCCTCAGAAACCCTATACAGAATCACTATGAATCAGAACTGACTTGATGTCACATAACAGCAATAGACACAAAAATTATTTAGTAAATAAAACGTTAGTGCTAAGATTTAATATACCATACCTAGCCTCATAGCTCACAGTCTTTCCACATAAAATGAACCATTTTATTCTGAGTGAGAAAATTAAGAATCATCTCCAAAGATTCTACTTCTATACATACTGTTGGTGAAAAGATTTGTTGCTATAAATCATAATGTAATTTAGAAAGCACTCTGGGATGTTAAATAAATTAAAGATAAATAATAAATTGATTAGTATGTAAAATACAACCATATTAAGACCCTGAATGACATACTAGGTATGCTCTTAAAATGACTTCCATGTGATGGATTTTCTAATTCTCCATTTCCTTTCAGCAACTTCCTAAACACTACATACTTCTTGGCAATACTCAAATATTTAGCTAACTCCAGTTAGGTGTGCTTTCCCCAAACTAATTTATGCCAGTTATACTCACCTAGCTGAGTATCACACAAACTAGTAAACCATGAGTGCCAAAAAAGAAAGCAGTTGTTGCTAACACAACCTAAAATTGAATATTTTAACAGATTTTTAAAAGCGAGCCTCTCTTTAAAGACAACTGAAAATATTGGAAAAAATAATCATGAAACTATAGGTTCTGCACTTATGAGTTTCAGTTTCACAAATCTCTGTAAATTCTGCATTTTAAAGAAACAAAAAATGAAAACTATAGTCAAAATACTAATGTTAAGACTATCAAGAATATTAGTTAAATCTAACGTTAATTAAGCCTTTAAAATAAGACTTAAATGCATACAAATAATGAGGCAATGGTATCTTTAATAGGTCAGTAGTGTCATTTAAAAAACAAGGTAATTATAAAAGACATTGTGAATAATAAAATGGCAAAAAATGCTAAATGAAAACAGTAAAGGAGTATCACCTGTGACTATAAGACATTTTTCTGTACTCCCACAGTACATACAAAACCTTGCAGTTGGCAGTCCAACACATAACCCACCATGCTACAAGGGCTCCTTAGCAGTCTTATTAGACAAATAAAACTATTTATGATTTAGTTATCAGACATTTTAATATATTACCTCCAACATATGAGGGGGCTTCATAAAGTTTGTTGAAAGTTCCATTATCTTTTAAGTCAATTTTTCCACAAACTTTTAAAAGTCCTCTTATATATAAAAGGAGTCCTTGTGTGGCACTGTGGGCTAATGTGTCAGAGTGCAGAGTAGTTTGAACTGTAAGGTTGGTGGTTCAAGCTCACCAGCTGCTCCTTGGAAACCCTATACAGGGTTGCTATGAGTCAGAATCGATTTGATGGCACTTAACAACAACAACATATATAAAAATGAAATATTTATCAGAAATAAATAAAACCTATGTCTAGCCTTAATGTGGATTTAGAATTTTTAGTTCCATGAAATAAATATTGTTGCTATGCTCTTTCTCAGGAGGTAATATACTATAATAAGATTGAAATTTTTATAATGTAAAATATTTCCATTTGTTCCCCTCACTTTTTCCCTTCTTGTTCTCTTAAAATACAACTGAGGGTATCAGAACAAGAGTCAGAAGAACAAATAACAACATCTTTGATAAAATCTCAACCAAAAATAGTCACTGAAGACTAAATGGGTTGGTTTCCAATCATCTATAAGATGCAAATCTGAAGTCCCTTTGGTTGTATTTTTTTCCATGACGTACACTGCGCTCTTACTAGCCATGTGCTTCTGTTCCTTTATCTTGTTTGTTTGTTTGTTTGTTTCCTGGTTGAATAAGCGATTTCTTTCTCTTCAGACTTTGACTCTGACCTGTTTATGTTCCTGCATTTGGTATGTATTTAGAAACAAGAAGAGAACGGAACAGGCAAACAAAGAATGTTGTCTGTTTTTCCTTGAGAAACAGGTAATGAGGTAGTGAGAGAAAAATGTCTCCACCAACCTTCTTTTCCCTTAAATTCTAGGTGCAGCCATTTTTGACTGTGCTGTTCTTTGGTTTTTCTTTCCCATATAAACAATACTTAGTGTAAAGCAAAGTGTTTTGGGAAAAGTAATAATAATGTTATCCCTCACAGAGACAATGGGCAAAGTTGAAGCTATACTACAAACAGATTTATCCAAACCTAGTAAGTAAATACTGGTCCTGCTACAGATGTGGTGCTGTAGGATAAGCACTAGACTGCTAAAAGCAAGGTTGGCAGTTCAAATCCACCAGGCATTCCCCAGAAACCCTATACAGGATTGCTGTGTGTTGGAACTGACTTGACGGCACTTACCAACAAGTAACAGAGTAAAATGAATAAACTCTATTGTCCACATTGAGTCCTCTAATAAGTGTAGGCTAATAGGATTGTGTTGTTTATTGATGGTTAAAAAAAACTTGGAGATGAGGCAACTCATTCAAGTATTAATCCGCTTTAAACTCTGCTTCGTGTTGGAAGTACACATGTAAATAGATAGACTATCTTTATGTTAAAGGGTAGAGTCCTGCTGTAGCACTGTAGGATAAGCACTACACTGCACGGTCAGAGGGATTCGAACTCACCAGCTGTTCCTCGGACACTCTATGAATCAGAACTGACTCAATGGCACTTAACGACAACGACAACGACAACAACAACATGTTAAAGGGTGAAAGCAAATTCAGAAAAAAAGCAATCTTGCCCATCTTGATAAAAGCAACACACTGAGGAACTCTCCTTCCTTCCTGATGACTATCACCCTTATTCCTATCTCATAATAAAAACTTCATAATCATTTAAGTAATCTCTGCCAGTTTAACTGTCTAATAAAATTCATCACTTCTAATGACCTGGCATAGCTAAACATCACCTATATTTAAAAACATGAAAATATAAAGAAAGAAAAAATGGGACCACAGATTATAAGAGAACACTGTTTTATAGCCATCAACCTGCTCAACTGAATCACATCTGTCTGAGTTTAGTAGCTTTAAAATTCATTCCACAGCCTGCAGTCCTGACATGGATATGATAAGACAGAAGAACAGAAACACCACTCTGAAGTAACCTAGCTGAACTGCACATGTTCTGACCCTTTTTGTCCTCCCTGGAGCTTTTGCTACCTGGCAAATGCAGCTCTAAAACTGCACTTGTATCTCCAGATCTTTGCTGTTAGCCAAGCAGAAACCTATTTTCCCCTGGGACTAGCAGCCAGAGAGGTGTTCTCTGAAGAAGACTTAAATGAGTGTGTGAGCTGAACTCTTACTGAACTGAATTAATTATTAATGATGCAGATGGAACTGTCCAAATGATAAGAACAGCCCCTGACGTGTCATGATCCAAGCTTTCATTAAACCATTTCAGGCATACTAATGGTTTCCCACCGTTCATTACTTACAAGCACTTTTCTCATAGATATTATAACTCTAGTGCCTGTAGGCAAAACATTCTATAGAAATGCAGAACTGGAAGTTTTATCTTCCTTAGCATACTATTTTTGTTCATAGAACTGTTATTATGTAAAATGTACCACCTATTTAATAGTACTAAGTTAAATGGTTTGAGTTCAGAGAAATTATATTCAAAACTATACTTTCTGAAAAGGTTAGTATATAATTTTTGTTACAAGAAAATGCCTTAACAGAGTGGTGGTGGTATGTCATTTCTAATTGACAGAGACACTGTACAGGGTTTCTGAGACGAAATCTTTACAGGAGTAGGCAGCCTCGTCTTTCTCTCTCAGAGTAGGTGGTGGACTTGAACTGCTGACTTTGCAGTTAGCATCCCAGGTGCAACCACCAGGGATCCTTTAATAATGGTGGTGGTGGTGATGTTTCATGGGGCTGGTTCTGACTCATAGGGTTTCCAAGGCTCAAAATCTTTATGGAAACAGAAATCCTAATCTTTCCCCTGCAAAAATGGTTGGTAGTTTTGAACTGCTGACCCTGAGGTTAGCAGCCCAAGGCACAACCACTACGCTATAATTTTATACTCTAACCGTTTGTTTGTGAATGGAGTTTTAGTTGTTTTATAAAGAGATATGGGTAAGGATTATTAAAGGACAAAGCAATTGCAGGAGAAGAATTATTCCCAGGATCTAAACCTGTACTGTCACGGCTTTTTTTCGTTTTCTTTTTTAACTTGGGAACATTGTTCCCAGTCTTTCACATCTCAACCTAAATGATTTGGCAGAGGATAATTATGACAAGAGTAATAAAGATCGTGGACTCTCACTATAAATGGTCATTAAGATACCCTTAACCTCTTTTCTTAATCTAACCTGAACATGTGTGTGCATTAACACCTTTCACATTAAGTAAAGCATTGTTTACTGGTCTAAAGTCATTATTTATCATCATAGAAACAGAATAAACAAAACTGAGGTATAAGTGACATGAACAATGATACTTTTATAGTCTAAATAGCCTAAAGTAGTCTTTATGATTTTCAGTGTATAATGTGTTTGGCCAGTTGCTTAGGGGACAAAAAGATTATCTTTAAAATGACCTCTCTTCATATCAACTATTTGTCACTCATTCTGGATAAGCTTAGGTTGGATTAACATAAGTAAACCAAGAACACAATCTGGGTCAATCTTCTGAATTATCTGTTTTGGATAATTCAGATGAGAAATTCGTTTTCTTAAGAACACTTGAGAACGTTTTACTAGTTTTCATTCATACAGGCAATTCACCTCAAATTTTCATTGTTTTGCATAAGTACTTTTGTAAAATAGTATCAATGAGAAAAATATATACATTTGAAGTGGTTTTAAGTTTCCTTCAATTACTAAAGTTTTAAAATTTTATGAAACACTAGTTAACCATTGGAATATCCTAACAGGTAAACGTATTATTGTTAGTAAAGCAGCCAAGTGGGGTCTGACTCATAGTTACCCTCTATCACTAAAAAAAAAAAAATTCCTTAAAAGGTTTACTACAACTTTTGTATAAAAGGAACGAGAGGCAGACATTTATTTAAATAACATTACTATTTGGAAGTTAAGATAATAAATATTAAGATACTGTTCTTTCACCTTTTAAAACATTGTTTAGTTCATAATGCAATACAGGCTTGCTATAATGCTCATGATATTTAATTTGGAGATACAACGTCCTAAAATACGTAAAACTCTTTGTAAAGGATTACAAAGTAAACTATAAACAGCAATTTTTCTGTACTAAATATCAGATTAATTCTAATTGGTACAATGCTAACATGGTCTATATGCAAATTTATTTTTTTGATTACAGAATTTAAACATAGTGTTTTTAAAATGGGAAAAAAACTGTTTTAAGAGGAAATAATTTTACCAAATAGTGCTAATTGCATGTATATGAATTCTCAGTAATTGTAAAATATTTAAAACTTATCACATAATTTAGTCTGTAAAATAGATATGCTTACAAATCTTTGAATGCCTAGAAAAATTAACAATAAAACAAATCATTTTTTGTTTCAATAGCACTGTTAATGTAGTAAGGTAAAAATGAGGGGAGAATAGAGCCTGCTTACCAGAATAATGAAGGTAACAGGGCCAATGAAACTCCATATAAAATAATTATCAACATGAAGCCAGCAACTATCATGGAAAGAAAAGAACGTGTATTAAGTAGTTTCAATGGATTCTTAACATCACAAAGAAAATAAAAAATGCTAAAATATGACTAATAAAAACTATTTGTACATTTACCTTTAAAAATTTATTTATCATGGGCAAGAATAAATCAAATTAATTCTGAGTTGGCTTCAAGTTAACAAAGGTAGTGATTTATTTACTTCAACCTGCTGTTTTTTCATTTCAGGCTTTATATTTGATAAAAGCAAAAAGAACTATGCTTGTGTAGGGGAACAATGAACCCTACTCCACTGCCAAATTCTTACAGTTTCTGACTTTACTAAAATAAACATAAAATTGAATATCCCAAATTGTTAAATAATATCTTATATTCTGCATATAATCTTCAAAATTTTCCTTTAGGTCTATGCATAAAATAAGTAGGTAACTCAATGGACTATACAAGCAAAACAAAAAACAAATGCTCAGATACAATGCTTGTAAAACAGCATAGCATATACATATGATATCTCAACTGGATATTACAGGAATATTACTGGATGAATACCAAGAGGCAAAAAAAAAAAAAGAGAAACAAACATACAAACACAAAAGGAAAGCATGGAACTCATACAGTATTAGAGTAAATGATACATAAACTATTAGAGTAAATGACACATTTAACTTAGTGGTTCATTTTTTCATGTAACATTGAATCCCCACAGAATTTCTTTTATTTGTCTTTCATCATCTGTACAGTCAAAAAGGTTTTTTTTAGTCCAAAGAATCTTTATGTAACTAATTTTATCAAAGGAAAAAAATAAACAGAATTGGAAGGAAAATTCATGCCTCTAGCAAATCAAATCCTTAGAAACATGCTATGTCTACCTTCTGTCACTTTCCATAAATATCTATATTTTTAAAATGAAAGACACTGGCTTATTTTAATCCTTCAAACTGCCTGATAAAATATTATCAAAGTAAAACATATGGGGTGGAATGTGCTACTGTCACAATTCAAAATGAGAGTTAGCTCGAGGGTCGGTTGCACAAAGAGAGCTAATGAAGCATTAGCTTAAAACTGAGTAGTTAAACCTGTCAGATGCTTTAAGTTCAGAAGAAATTTTACTTAACATCTTTCTTAGGCCAAAAAGTTATTTACTTTTTCAATTTGTTTCAGGTCAATCTTTTGTGTTAAAAAAGAAAGTCCATAATTTAGAATCTGCCTCGCTAGAGTACAAATCCTCTGAACCTAGAAAATTACAAAAGACTTGATTGTAATTTGTGCACGGCATGCACATTCTCTTACCAATAAAGCTTTCAGATGCTATTTCAGTCTGTCAGGGACCCTCACTGACAGCTAACAGGCTTTAAAAAATTATTCACTTGAAAAACACTCAGGTCGCTTGTGATTACTCACACTTTTGCTGTTCCATAGCTCTTGTAGTCAATAGCAGCTGAAACTCCAACCACTGTGGCTGGAAACAAGTAACCAGCAACATAGTAATATTTCTTCCTTGAATATTCACTTTCAAAAACTTCAACTAACATAAGATAGAGCTGCACACCTTCTAAGCACATCCAAGCAAAAGCCGCCAAAAAGAAAAAGTGTAAAAGTCCTGCAAATATTGGGCATGCAATCTACAAAGGAAAAGAACAAGAAACACATCTCAATCCCAAACTGAAGTTGTGAAGTCCTCTTATACATGCAATGAATAGTCACGTTCCGAAATAATACTTTTACCTCAAAATAATATGACTTAAACTAGCTGTTTTTATTAAAACTTGTCTTTCAATATTTCTATGTCAATGATGTTAAGTAACAGGGTCAAAGATTAACTGGATTCACACCTATTACAATCATTTGCTAACAGTACCCACTTTAAAAAGCATCACTATTTAGAACAAACTACTGCTTCTTAAAAAATGTTTTCATTAGAAAAAACCTACAATTCTTAGTAAAATTAAATACCCCTTTAAAAAAATTCTTAATTTCTCTTCTTAGAGATTACACATGATAAAAATCATTATATTGTTTATAGGTAATACGAAGAGCAATTATTTACAAAAATATTATTCCTACCTTTTCTATATCAAAATTTTATAAATTTGTTTTCATGACAAATACTCTGACTTTAATAGTCTAGAATGGTTTTCATATTATCTGATGCATTCTTAAATTTACACTGGTCCATATGAATATCAAATGAAATATTACTAATAAGCTCTGTTTCTGGAATTGAGACTTATTGACGAATACATTGCTCTGAATATGCAACAGTGATCACTGGTCAGACAGACTGTTTAAGCAAAATGTGAATTTTTTGAGTAGGATCTTCTTTAATTTTCAGTATCCCAGCATGCTTCTATTCACATTACTTTCCTTAATAACAACACAGAAAAATACAATCATGTCTCAATACAAGGGAGCTTCTAAAAGTTTGTAGAAAATCTAAATATTTGTGGGAAAATTCCAGTATAAAATTCCATCTTCCATGAACTGTTTGAAGTCCTCTTATAGATGCAACGAATAGTCATGTTCTGAAATAATATTTTACCTCAAAATAATGACTTAATCTAGCTGTCTTTCAATATTTCTATTTCAATGATGTTAAGTAACAGGGTCAAAGATTAACTGGATTCACACCTATTACAATCATCATTCTCAGAGATTCAAGGCCAACAAATTGAAGGGGTACTTACCATGTATTTTGTCTTATCAATGCCTATTAAGAAAATAAATTCCGCAATGAAAAGGTTGATACAGAGGTTTTTGTGAATAGTGTTACGGTCACTCTGTAGACCACGGAAAAAGCAGAAGGTGAAGATGCAGATAGCCAGACAAACGAGGGAAATGACAATTCCCACCCAAGTGATGACTATAAGAAGTAATTCATGAACTTCATCTTTGTACTAAAAGGAAAAACAAAACAAAACAAAATGTTTTGAAGAACATTAATATTCCTGCACCATGTCAATTAAAAGAAAGATAATTTCTCTTTCACATGCAGCTTATTTTTAATACTAAACTTCTCTGAATAATACAGACAGACGCTGAGATACAAACTTTGTTCCTATGTGTCTTTTAAGGTCAGCTTGGAACAGGTAGATACGGTTCTCATTCAGTCTTACTTTTAATGCGAAAAAAAAAAAAAAAAAAAAGCCTTTAAGTCTTTTCAATGATTTAAAAGCTACACATGCAGCAGGTGAATGTGATTATGATGAAGAATTTATTGGAACTTGAGGTTGGTTTAATCATTTCAAAGTGATGGCAAAATTACATAACATTAAAGGGCAAGTAAGAGTTGTCAGTAAGTTAGACATTCTTAAGTAAGAGGTGCTTGTATTCCATTGTGTTCAAACAGAGATCAATATAAAGAATTTTTGACCATATAACAGAATTTAGTAAGATCCTACTGGATATTAATATCCCAAAACTGACCTATGAAAAGTATTCTAACGTTGGAAATAATACACGAGTATAATTACTTAAAAATTATTTTAAAGTTGTCTACAACAGTATAATAAAGTATGAATTGGAATAGTTATGGTTAAGAATAACTGCAATTTTTCTTAGTTTTTTCCTGGTAAACAAATAAACCAAATTTTATACTTTCACTTTTTTCTTGGGTTGTTATAGTTATATACTGAAAGTTTAATTTACAACAGAATTTAGGGGGTTTTAATGACACATTTCTTAAAACATAATTTATCTTCTGGCTTTCATTCTTGTACTTACCAAGAAGAACACCAGAAACATTCCCAAAGAGATGTTCTGATTTTTTATTTTGGCAGCTTTTTTCAGTGTGCACAATTACAGTAAAGAGATATTAGGAAACTTCAAGGGCATGTGGTAAAGTAAGATTCAAGCACTCAAAATGTGGGGGGGCATGTAAAACTTTAGAGCCTTCTTGTCTCTTTTGTGTGACTTACTGATTTCCATTTTTGCCTGACTGTCTCACCAGAACACTTGCCCAAAAAAGAAAAACTTAGAAGCATGTATAGTAGTTTCAGAGTGCATGGCTTTGAAAGTAATAACTATAATGCCAAGACTAAAATATATGGACAATGTAGAAATTCACATCAATTTGTTGGCTTTTTAGTTACGATAAGCACCCAGCAAATAAAGGAACTATTAACACAAGCTGCACTGAATCTCTGAGGTTTTCTCTGCTACTAATTAGAAGTGCAAATACTTACTGCAATTTCCCTGTGGGCCATGAGAATCGCAAAATTGGTTAGGTGGCTGCATGCACACGTTGTACGAGTTTTATTAGTGTCAACCAGCTTGCAGCCCTGGGTAGACCAATATCCCATCATAGTTCTTTCTGAGTAGTTCCAGAAGGAGCAGTTTGCATTGAAATAATTGTCAGGCTGGGAAATAAAATGACAAGATAAAATTAGGATTTTACACTCTAAGATGGTAACAGCAATTGTTTAATATGTGTAAAAGGTAATTTAGATTAAACTTTGCATGTTTCGGACTATAAAGTTTTTCATCAGCAAAATTGTGGACTATGTTATACAAGGCAGATATCTAGCTTAAAAGGGGCTTTATAGTCCGAAACACTCTAAAGTGTATTCTGAATTACCGAAGACCCATTTTACACAATTACAATTTCCATCTTATGATTTTACATACTGATGGTACGTTAGAATCTTTTTGTTGTTGTTGTTGTTTCTTTCTGACAAAATTAGAACCATGAATTTATTCTGAGGAAATTCTTTAAGGCCCAACTGTTTTTAAATTCATTTTCAATATGGGCCACTTTCTGGTTAGTTCTAAATGACATGTTAGTGACTATTTGAATTATGTAGTAGTTAGTACCTCAAGGCTGTTTAAAGAGTAAATCACCTGAAGCAGATAAAATGGAACGTAACCATGCAAATTTCTTTTTCCTTGCCAATTCTAGAGATCCACTTGGCTATCTGAGCGAACTTATTCATTGTACTTATAAATAACAACAGACAACAATTCTGCAGACACTCTTTCAACACAATGGAATAACTAAACTACTGACTTGCATTCTAAGGTTCAAAACAGAAATCACTTCTTCCCAAGCCTATAATCTTTATACATAATGTTTGATAACAATTTTGTCAAATGTGATCAGTAACACTAATAAAAAAATTGTTTGCCACACAAAAGATACAGTATCTTAAGAGTTAATATTGGGCAAATCTGTTGCAAAGGTAAGAGTTAATTTTCACTCTGAAACAAATTAGAGTCATTTTCATGTTGATTACTGAATTAGCTTTCATTAAGAATACACTTAAGTTCTAATAATCACTGAACCAGGCTCATTTAATTTTATGTTCACAGACTTAAATAAACTTGTGTCTCTGACCTAGTCCAACATTTAAAATTCAGGTATAAATGTCTTTTATTCCTTTCTCTCATTTTCCTTTTGTCCTCCCTCCCCCTTCTCCCCATCACCAGAGTGTGTCAATTTTGCTTTCCTTTCTCACTGGTATTATAACCTTCCCATTAATTCATTAGCATATGCAACTTACATCAATGTGAGGCAAGGTAAAAAGCACAGGATCAGTCAAGTATACTCGGCTGGACTCTTTGTTGATTGAAACTGAAATGACGTGTGAATTCACTGCAATAGTACTATTACGACCCATAAAGTCACTGCCCAGTTTTATGGTTGCATTTTCTGTACTAAGGAACTGTCCCAGGCTTCGGTAAATGATGAACACCAACTTTGCAAGCCCTAAAAATGTGAAATTATGTACATGATTTTACAGAATATATGGTTATGCATAATGTAAGAACGAAAAGGAAAAAAAAAAATCTTACAAAATGTTTATTACAATTAAATATATTTGAGGAACAGTAAGGAATCATTTAAAATCTGCTTTTAAATGCCAAGCTGTTTATATTATATTAGGAGTCAAATACTTCACATTTAAGAATTAATAGGTTTAACTGAACAAAAAAAAAAAAAAGAAGGTCCAGTTTTAAATGAAAGTGTTACATCTTACCATTCCTGCTATTCTGTTTCACGGTATTCGCAGAGAGTTGGATCGAGCTGCCTGAACCTTTGATACCCAGAGGAAATTTAAAGTCTTGGACTTGTCCTTCTGTGCTGAGTACTGCAACTTCTAGAACTGGATTACACAAAGGACAGAAGATGAAGCAAAAGAAAAGAAAAACACAAAGCAAAAAAGTACATTATTAAAATTAAAGGTGCAAATAATTATATGAAAACAGCTCTTGTGGTTTTTGTATTATTATTTTTTTTCTTTTTCACAATTCTACATAATAAAACTTTACTGGTTAATTTTAGCAAAATAATGAGTGAGAGTTTAAACTAAGGTCTAAAACCTTGGCTTCTCTACAAAAATTGTCAACCATTTTAACATTTTCTTTACATTTTTATATCTTGTCATAATACAGACTTCAAGCTTCTGAGTATTAATAGTTTTATTTAAGGTGTTAAATCAAACCAAATATATGTTTTAAATGATGCTTTTCTTTATGTTAAGTAACTCTTCACTTACCATTATTTGGCCATGATAAAACTGAATCTTAAATATAAATTTGAATGTATTTTCCTTGTATGAGGAGCCTTCAAAAGATTTGTGTAAAAATGGAATTCAAAGTTAATAGAATTTTTCCATAAACTTTTTGATGCCTCCTCATGTAAGTTACTATGTACAAGATTTATTTCAATCCATAAAGTTATAAAGGAAACTTGCTAAAAGTAGTCAGATTAGCACAGCTATGTATTAGAAAATTTCTGGTATTATGTTCAAACTTCCAATGATTCCCTAATTACTTCACCATCTTTTTTAGATACTCAAGCCTTGGAGTTAAGTAAAACAGGACCTACTGGCCAAATCTGGACAGCCACTGTTTTTTTAAATACAGTTTTACTGAAACATAAGCAAATTATTTCAGCCTAATCCAAAATTCAAAAGTTCAATGAGTTAGCATAAAAGGAGTTCTGGTACCTTAGTGGATTATAAAGCTAGGATGCAAACTGCCAAGGCCAGCAGCTTGAATCTACCAGTCGCTCTACAGGAGAAAGATGAGGCCTTCTGCTCCCATAAAGATTTATAGTCTCAGAAATCCTATACACATGGCAGCTTTGTGTAGGAACCAACTCAGCGGCACACAACCACAACCACCAGCATTTCTGAGTAAATTTCTGGCATTAAGCTCAAACTTTCCATGATTCCCACTTAGGTCACCATCAGTCTTACATATTCAAACCTTGGAAACAGGTAAAAGAGGACCTGTGGGCTAAATGTGGACAGCCACCTGATTTTGTAAATAAAATTTTATTGTAATATAGACACACAATTATTTTATCCTAATCCAAAATCAAAAGCTCAAATGAGTTAGCAAAAGTGAAAAATATGTAAGGAAAGCAACTTAACATATTAATGTTGAAAAAATTTACCTGATAAGCAAGGCCAATGTTGTTAAATTTTGTTTCAAAAATATAACTGTCATCAACATCAATGCATACTGTCTATTCTTATTCCAATATAGGTAACAATATTAATCTTATTCATTTAATTTTAAGTGAAAAAGTATTATTATTGATAAAATCATGGAATTATGTAAAAAACCATTAATTTCATATATGTGTATATATTTTTTAAAGTAACACATTTAATAATAAAGATAATCCACACAGTTTTCCTATTAATTTTACCATATCTACTGGCATATATCTGAGTCCTGGTGTGGTGCTGTAGGATAAGCACTGTACTGCAATGTCAGTTTGAACTGCAAAGTCAGTGACTCAACCCCACCTAATGCTCTTTGGAAACCCTATATCAGGTCCTTAGGAGTTGGAACCAATTCGATGGCATATAACAAGAGCAATTAGTATTTATCCTTACGGTTAGCTCTCTATGCTTAAACAAACATTATATTTGTATGTGCTGAGTTTCCTTACTACTGAATGGAGATATGAGGAATTCATCCTACCTTTAACCTTTTACAAAAATAGGCTTATACCATTATTGTATAACTTTTGGATACTTCTTTTGTACATTGCACAACTTTGTTTTGTAAAGTACATTTAAATTGAGCTGTAAGTGTGAGAAACACAGCATATGAAGATCTGTCTAAGTGATCTGACCACATGTCAAGCCTCTAAATACAAGTTTATACTAAGAGTCTTATAATTCCTAGATTTGTATCAACTGCAGAATCTGCTTGAGATCCCCATTTTTTTTTTTTGACACAAGTAAAAAGATTAAGTAAGCAAATGGGTAGGTAGATGATTCCCCTCTTCTTATACCAGATACTATGTATGTGTGAGAGAGGGTTAGACAGAAGCAGAATGAAAAATATACTCTATCTCACTCATAGGTAATGGATTTCTAAATTATTTGTTATTATTAAAATAAGAGAGAAAATAGAATGAGGAATATTCTGGGTTTTGACTTAAGGTCCCAAACGTAGATATAGATATTTTCATTCAATAAATATTTATTCCTCAAACTTTAATTTCATTTAAACAAATGTTTTACTAATTGCCATTTTAAGAAGCATATCCATACATATATTTTTAAAAACCCAAACATACAGTAAAGAAAACTAGATTTGGATTTTTAAAAGCAAAAGGCTCTTTACTAGAGCTCTTAGTAGTTAATTTTTAAACCATAATAGAACACAATAACTAAATTTAGACCAATACATTTAAAAAGATTAAATGCAGAATTTACTAGAAAAGTAAAACTGATAAAAGAGATAAAACAAAAAAACTCAGTCATTCTGTGGCCAGTAAGAAAATGAACTGATAACTAATCCTGAATCCTATAACATTTGTTCCAGACAACAGAAAAATAATGCTTGGCAACTAATTTCACAAGATGTTTAAACCTGATGCAATACCACAAAGAAAAAGACCAGAGTTTATCCTCATTAAAAATGATACATAATCTTTAAGTAAATATACTTGATGTATAAAATACAAATACTGAACAAATTGAGTTTACCTCAAAAATGTACACAAGATTTAGCAAAAGAAAATGTTAACATAATGCACCAAATTAAGATGCTAATAATTCAATAAATTTCAATACCTAGTCAATATAAAAGTCATGGTGTGGCACTATAGGATGAGCACTGGACTGCTAAATGCATGATCACGGTTCAAACCTACCAGTCATTCCTTAGAAACCCTATACAAGGTGGCTAATGGTCGGTTATGACTTGATGGCACTTAACAATAACAACATTCAATATAAAGAATCTACACAATACAGTAGGAATGAAAGTAAATTAACTTGACCAGATGAAGGATACCTTACAAGATAAAAATTATTTACTCAGAAATTATACAAAACTTAAATAATGGTGGGAAAAGCAGGACTTCAAATGGGTTAACCCTTGTTTGACCACTTGCTGAGAATTTGCTTTTTGGCCAGATATGTTATCAAAATCTGCATTTTAACAAGTTACCCACCCCCATAGAGAGCCAGGGTCCTGTAATGCGTTAGCAGTGGGCTTTTAACCGCATGGTTGGAGGTTCAAATTTATCAGCCGATCCACAGTACAAAGATGAGACTTTCTGTTCCCTCAGAGATTTACAGCCTCAGAAACCCTATACAGGGCTGCTATGAGTCAGAATGGATTCAATGGCACACAAAAACAATGCCTCTCCCCACCATGATTCTTACAGATCTTGTACAGACATTTGTCAAAATATATACTGATTCAGTATATCTGGAGTGAGAAGGCAAATTTTCAGTAGGGGTTGAAAGAGAATAAACTTGATTCTAAGCCCTGAGGAAAAGTCAGAGTGATCCCTAACACTGGTTGTATGCATCATTGTAACTAAAGGGCCTAATGAAATAACTCAAGAACACCAAAGTATGAAGACTGGGAAAAAAGGCAAACTGTAATTGTCTGCAGAAATTATAATTAACAGTGTAGTAAGTATGAAGGAGTCTATAGACAAACACTCAGAACTAGTAATCAGTTGAACAAGATTTTAGCAAGGCTGTTATCAATAAACAACAGCAAAATCAATTTGATGCTTAAACATTAAGCAACCAAACCCACTGCCGATAAGTGGATTCCAACTCATAGTGACTCTCTAGCACAGACTAGAACAGTCACACCGGATTTTCTACGCTGTAAATATTTATGGAAGCTGAAGGCCAGATCTTGCTTCTATGAATGGCTGGTGGTTTCTGGTGTTTTGGTTAGCAGTCAAGCACCTAATCATTGTCCCCACGATGGCTCCTCAGTCATGTGATATACCCCAAAGCTCACTGCCTTATAGGGTTTCTGAGACTCTAAATCTTTATAGGTGAAGTCAGCCTCATCTTTCTTCCTTAGAGTGTTAACAGCCCAACACTTAACTCAGCGCACCACCAGGGTAATACACCAAACTTGCTGCCATCAAGTCACACACTCAAGGTGACCCTGGTACAGGGTTTTCAAGACTGGAATTCTTTACAAGAGCACAAAGCCTCCTCATTCTTCTGCTGAGCAGCTGGTGAGTTTGAACTGCCAACTTGCAATTAGCAGTACTTGGTAAGGGATATGTTGTTGTTAAGCGCCTCTGAGTCTGTTCCAACCCATAGGGTTTCCGAGGAGCAGCTGGTGAGCTTGAACCACCAATCTTGCAGTTCAAATGACTACAGTCTGGCGCATTAACCCACAGAACCACACCAGGACTCCATTAAGGGATATAGTGGTGAAAAAAATCAAATCCAGAGTGTATGACATTCAATAGGGTAAATCATTAATCTAGTTTCTTTAAGGAAAATAAAAATTGCTTCAGAAAGAAGATACAGACTTTAATTTTAGTTAAAAGAGACTCTAGCAACATAGCAATCATATGTACTATGTACACTTGTTTGTGTCCTGCTTCAAACAAAATGTTATCAAATTTTATAAAAATCAGGTAAATTAGAACACATGTTTGTTATTTAATTAAAGCTATCTTGTTAATTTTTAAAAGGAAATAATAACAGCATAGGCATTTTACTTTATTTTTTAAAGACTATGAGTTGCATACTGAAGTATTTTTAAATAATAATGACATAGTGTTAACATTTGCTTCAAAACAATACAGTGATAAGGGAGTAGTGAGATTTTGTTAATGTTGTGTAACAGGGATCTGAGATTTATTATATTATTCTTCCTACCCTTGTATATAGTATACAATTTCTATAAATGATGATTTTCTGAAAGCTCTTAAGTAACTGATGAATTGGTTCTTAATAAAAATGAAAAAAACTTCTGTTCTTCCCAAGACATTAAAAAAGTAAAAAGAAAAGCCACAAACTAAAGGAAAACATTCAGATTACATACATTTAATAAAAGGCTTGCATCCAGAATATATAAAGAGTCCTTATAAATTATTAATGAGATGAAAAATAACCCAATTATAAATGAGCAGAAAAAACCGAACAGACATCTGTTCATAGAATAATAGCCAATATGCACATAAAAAGAATCTCAACAGTTACCAGCAAAATGTAACATAATCATTAGAGAAATGTCAAATAAAACCACAATGAGATGCCAGTGCATGTTCACCAGAATGTCTACAATCAAAAAGACTGCCAATTCTAAGTGTTGGGGAAGATACAGAATACTTGGAACACTCAAGCTTTGCTATTGGAACCATACAATTGTACAGCTACATAGAAAAACAGCAGCTTTAAAAACAGAGTATCAAAAAGTAGAATCAGTCGAAAACGCCAAATATTAAGAGAGAAGATATAAACACTGTGACACATCCTTAAAATAGAATACTATGTAGCAATAAAAAAGACTGAACAGTTCTCAAAAATATTATTCTGATTTAAAGAAGCCTGACTACAAGTATACATATTGCACTGATTTCACCCTTTTCAAGGTCTAGAAAAGCCAAAATTATTCCATAGTGATAGAAAGTATATCAGTGATTGCCAAGAACTGGGAGATGGGGAAAACTGAATGCAGGGAAGCATAAGGGACCCTTTTGAAGTGATAGAAATATTTGTGGCTTTTCTTTTCCTTTTAAAAATATCTTGGGAGGAACAGAAGCTTTTCATTTTGATGAACTTTTGACTAACTGGTTATATGGAATCCTGGTGTGGCGCTACAAGTTAATGCACTGAACTATAAGGTTGGTTTGAACTGCTAGGTTGATGGTTCAACTTCACCAGCCACTCCTAGGAAACCCTATACAGGGTCGCTATGAATCAGAACTGACTTGATGGCACTTAACAACAACAACAGGAACTGGGTATATGGATGTGTATTTGTCGAGATGCATCAAACTGTACACCTAATATAGGTATTTGCATTGCATGAACGTGTACCTCAAATTTGACTGTAAAAAGCTATCATCAGGAACTCTGGTAGTATAGTGGTTATTAAGTCAGGCTGCTAATCTCCAGGTCAGCAGGTCGAAACTACCAGCAGTTCCACTGGAGAAAGATGAGGCTTTCTGTTCCCAAAAAGATTTAACTGCCTTGGAAACCCTATACAGGGTCTCTATGAGTCAGAGCAGCTTCATGGCATATAACCACCATCATCAGATATAATTATGTTGTTATTCAGTGTCGTCAAGTCAGTTCCGACTCATAGTGACCCTGTATAGGGTTTCCGAAAAGCAGCTGGTAGGTTCCAACCACTGGCCTTGCAGTTCAAACCAACTTTGCAGTCCAGTGATTACCCTACAGTGCCGCACAGGACTTCAGATAATGAACCAAATTATTTTAATTCTCATATCTGAAAAAAAACATAAAGGTCGAATGTTTTACTCATAAAAATCACGGATAATTGCTTTCACAAAATTCCTTATACAATAAGAAATTTAAAAGTCTTAGTGTATTAAAATATATAAAGATTTTCATAGTGATAACTCTGGAAAAAATCAACATATGGGTAAATTAAAGTTGCTGTTCTTATGCAACCCTATATAGGGTTTCTGAGGAGCAGTTAGGTTAGTTTGAACTCCTGACCTTGAGGTTCAAATTGACTTTGCAGTACAGCATATTAACTCACAGTGCCAAACCTGGACTCCAAATTAAAGTTATGGTATCATTATTGAAAAGTCAGTAGAATGTACTCTAGAAGACTCTCCATGTTCTTTATAAGTTAAAAATAGAAGGAGATCAATATGAAGAATAATCCTTTAAAGCTCTAAGAATAAAGGTATTTGAAAGAATATCTTCCTGCACTATGAGAAAACTTGTCTGCAGCCATTTACTGATCACAGACATATATTTAAACATATTCTGTTTGGGTTAAACCTGTGCATGTATAAACTAGAATCCTAATAGTAATATTTTTTGACTTATCATCATACTTCTCTAATAGAGGTAAAAGTATTTCAAACTTGTAATAAAGTGTTCGGCATATACAAGGCAGATGGAAGCATAGACCTGCTAATCTTGGCCCCTGGAGTTTTCTTACAGACTTGAAGGACAGAACCGGATATTTTAGGTTCTGTGATTTTGTTGTTGTTATCTGTTTTTTACTATATCTTTTACAATATTTAATGTAAATCTTAGGGATTTAATTATACTAGCATTTATATTAACATCAAAAATAATAATGAAAGCATTAGCTAGAAAGGGAGAGATTTATTCAATTTATATTAAGACAAAGGCTATACAAAAATATTGTTTTCCTTTTGGGAGTATTCCAGATCATAATGGCGCAAATTACTCTCCACTTCTTTTGGTTGGAAATTACCAAGTGCAAAACCCAAATATTTCAATAATTCTTTATTTCCAAAACAGTTATTCAAAACAAATTTCAGGCTTAAATATACACCTAAGTATAACTTATAATCTGATTAGTGTCCGTTTCCTATACTTTTCTGCATTTTATATAATGCTCCATGACACATAAGCACAATTAGGCTGTAAGTTATGACCTGAACACAGCAAGTTATAGAAAGTATCTGCTGCTCGAATAAAGACAGCACTCTTTTTTGTGCAAGAGTGGTCTGTGTTGCTCCCCACCCCCCACTCTTTTTTTTGGAAACATTTTTGCTTGGGAGACTAAATGTTACTGTAAATGTCATCTGAGCTCAGCATCACTGAAAATCAACAACTCTAAAGTAGTCAAGCTTAAATTAATATAATTTTAATGTACTTCTATCACATATTTTCAAAAGTAAATTTCTAACCTTCAGAGCCAGTATTTAAATTCTTTAATTATGCTTCAAAACTATCTGCAGCTATTTTGCAATCTATGAAGCATGGACATACTGCATTAAGGGAGATGTAGTTCACTGACCACATTTTCACCTGAAGGCAGTTGTGTTTAATATAAACATTTGGCTCATGTTCTGTGTGGCTAAAATATTTAACTGGGAGAACACATTCCAGAAAGTAATTTAAATTCATTAGGAACATATTACATAAAATGGAAAAGCATTTGCCACAGTTCCATAGCAAGCACTTTCATTATTTAAGTAATCCATATTCTGGCATTTAAGCACTCTAACAACTTTTTTCTTTTCTTTAATGATTTTTCAATTGAATGAAAAAAAATACATAAAACCAACTTTTCAAAGATACATATTTTGACTTCTGCATTAATTTTTCCAGGTAAGATCAATACTTTCTCTTGCTAACAGCAAACATAATTTGACAAAAGAAAAGTTTGGTACAGGAAAGTAACTGAACAGTTTCATAAATATCTAGTTTTTCTTAAATATCTAGTTTCTAAATCAAAATAAAACGTGACAATAGATTCACTTACCAATGTTTTCTGTGGGCATTGAAACCCTTGTTGGTTCTAAGAGATTGTCAGCCAGGACAAAAGCTCCTTCTTCTAATGTATCCAGTAACATTGTTGCAGTATGTGCTTGTTCAGAAGAATTCATGTGTTTCCATGATTCCAAAGCTTCAGGTCTCAGTAGGTTGTCCACTGTGTCAACAATTGCCTGCATCCATTAGAAAACTACTATTAGTTTTGACTACTTCTAGCACCAAGATGATTTTCAATCACTGACTAGTGAAAATTGTAATACTTAACTGTGATGATGATTTATTCTTATTTGAGTATAGAATAAAGACTGGTCAACATATATCTGGTTAACTTAAAATTAACCTAAGCATTTCAAAATAAGACTAACTGAAGATAAGCAGACCCTGTTATAAAGATTTTTAAGTGCAGAAAGATGGTTCCTTTTTGTTTATTTAATTACACCTGAATTGTGTAAAGAGAAACACAACCACCAGTGTCAGCTTCTAATTTGAGGCATTACTGAATATATTGTTATCAAACTATTATATGTATTTTATAAACTCAAAACATGTATGTTCTAAATTATAAAACAAGGACTGTCTCTGGAGTAGTGTACAACTGATTTTCAATACCTGAGCTAAAACAGTAGCCAACATTCTGCTTTATAGACTTGGTCTATTTATTAGCTTATATGTAAAACAAAAAGGTAGTTTTGAAGTTTCTAAATTATCTGTGAACAGTTTTACTCTTCCAATTTCCTGTACAAAACTAAAACACTTGGAAGTATACCTTCATTCATAAGTCATTGTTTTTAAAGGAATCTAATAGAGCAATCAAAATATTTAAAGTCCATATGTATAATTTAGTTAAAAAAGCAGAATAAAATCTTCAGAACTATACATTTTGTAAATATTCACATCTGTAGGTTTAACATATTAGCATGCAGAATAACATTATATATATATACATGCATATACATATATGCATATGTATGTATATACCTGTGTGTGTGTGTATATATATATATATATACACACACACACACACACATATACAGACATACATCAGTTAAGCAACTGCAGGCAAAGTCTTAGACTGATTCTTGCAGCTGTGAAGTGACTATACCTTACATATTTGAAATCGCTATATTTAGTCTATCCTATTTACCTAGCCAGTATCATTAAGTCACTGTATAAACTACTCGATCTACTGGTAATTGGTGAAATAAAAGAACATACATTGTACAAAGAAAAACAAAAATTGCTAGTAAGAAGCACTGTGTTAAAATAAACGTGTATGTGTATATGTGTGTGTGGTGGTGGTGGTGGGGGTTTGATTAATTAGCCTAATCCATCTTAATATCCTTGTTCTGCCTGCCTTGTGAGCCACCACGACCTTCCTGGCAGGTGGAAGGTACTTTCAAGTGGCGTTAAAGGCTTTTTCTCCCTCTCTAATGGGAGATAGAATAGTCAAAATGCTCACACGGATACTGCTGCAGCCATTAACTAGAGTAGAACAGAAATTGGTCTGCTGAGGCCAGATTCATTAGTCACCAAGAAATACAGACTGAATCCTCTAATCTAAGTTACAAATGAATCCTCTGTCACAAAGTGGAGACTTGCTTCATTTGCATAGTGTAAGTCAGCTTCTGATTTGTAATTTAAAGAGTTTTATTAGTCTTATCTGAATAAAGCAGCTCATTTGAGATGTACTAAAAATGACACTGGTCCAAAATTAAGGTCATGCTGAAATTTACTATGTATACACATAACTTGCTGATGGCATGCCTTTATTAATTTGAAACACTCCTTATTTATTACCATTTGTACTTTTCTAGTAGGATCAAAATGATCATTAGCCTAATCATATTCCTGAAGTAGTCTTCCCTGCCAAAGAGAAAAGGGCGATTCTTTTCCCACTGAGACATATGTCCTGGGCAACATACCAATTATTACATTTCATACACCTTAAAGGTGAACTGGAAATTTGAGAATGAAAAATTCTATACACTTCAGCAGTTACTTCTTTGTCCCCATTAACGAGGTTAAAAAGGGACTTTCAATATTACTACCCAAAAGCAGACTTTCCCACAGCCTTTTCTTATAGAAAATTTCTCAGACTTTATTAATGGCAAAATGCCATTCTTTTTTTTCTTCCTCTGGGCCTTGCCAACCAAAATTAGTGAAGTCATGGCTTTTGAACAACCTCTATTCTATGTATCTATAAAAATTCCTTTGTTTTGCTGTCATACATACATGGGTTAGTTCAAGGCTTGATTTACAATGAGTTGGTTAGAATAACTATTGCCCCCAAAAGGAACTTCAAAAGATTCACATAAGAAAACAAAATGCAATTTGGGATTAGTGTTTTGATTTATCATGAAGAACTAGCATGGCTCAATGCCACTGTTAGCCTCAGCATGTCTCCTATTACTTGGATACACCAATGAGAAAAACTGGCTGGAGTGGACAAGGAGCATGAGCCAAATAGTGGCATTCTATTCCTAGCAGCCTGGCAAAAAAGCAATATGTAACATATATTGATATTATTGTTTTGTTTTGTTTTAGTAACTCATCCCCCTTATCAATATGGTTCTTGAAAAGATGCCTACAAATTTCAGGATAAAATCTGTTTAAGAGTCCAGAGAAACAAGATAGGCAGTGGCTTTTTCATGCACATACATTATGACTATACAGTCTTTGATATGATAAACTGCCAAAAATATATCATAGCTGTTTTATTCAAGTTCTTTTTCAATCCAAAGAGATGACAACAGGAAACAAAGAGGCTACATGATTACTTTCCAATTCAGAGGATATTTCATTAAAATTCTTATACATTTGGATAAATGGGGAAATGGGGAAAATTATAAACATGTTTAAATATTTGCTTCTTCTGAAGTATTGTACCTATGAAAAGCCAACATTTGTACAGCTGATATGGGGCATATTATATAATTATCAAAGACTGAAATACATTGGATCATGCAAGATGATAAAAGCGTGGCAGGTAGCTGAAGAAGGGCAAAGCAGGTGACAGCACAGGAGAGATACCTTAAGGTAAGCCCTGCATGTCTTCTCTCGTTTTTGGAGCTTTTTAGTAAAAGAAAAGAAAATCAGAGGTTAGATTTGATCTTTTGAAAATGAGGAAAAAAGAAATCCTCAAAAATTAACCTGCTGTTTCTGGCTCAAAGTTTATTATGTAAAGTGTTTGGACTTCTGTTAATTTCACTGACTGCCAAAACTGTTCATTTATACTTTTTAGACATAGCTTATCAAGCATTCTGACTTGGACAAAAATTAGAGACAAAATACATACTGTGGTTTAAAAAAAAAAAGTTCATGTTTTCACCCTATGGAACCATATTTAAGTTACAAATGCAATTCTTAGAGTGTGGTCAAAGTACGTACCAAATTTCTGTCACAGTAAGAAAAACGGATAGCAGTGCTACAATACATTTCTAGAGAATAAAAACTACCATTAGCAGCAGAACTTCAGTGACTAATATTCTTATATATGTCACAATTTTGCTGCAACCACTAAGGAGCTAATAAAAAGCACATCAGTTGTATAACATACATTCTTCAAGTGTAAGAAACACAGTTTAAAGTGAGTATATTGACCACAACCAGGACCATGAAGCTGTCTACCAATTAAGATCTCTCTCAGGTTTATAATTAATCGTCTTCACATTTTTTTTTTTTTAAATAAACTGCAATTCTTTCTTGGGAAATGAACCAACTCAGAAGTTTAGTTTCTAGTATAATGTTCATGGAGGCGAAGGGTTTGGCAGCCAATTGCTAGAACCAAGAATTGCCACAGTAACTGTCTAACTGAAACTAAAAGAACATTTCTACCTACCTTGTTATAACTCCGTCCAGCTGAATCCTTTTCACTAGGTTTCAGTTCCTGCAGTTGTGCATCAAGAATGTCCACCAACTGCTCCATCAATCTCACTGAAGAACTCACATCTCCAGCAAATACTGGCCCTTTGGTATGTTTAGCCAATTCATTGGCAAGACTAGCAGCATTTTCTCCACTTCTGATCTAAAATGACAAACATATATTATCACAGTGAGATTTATTGTTCTGTTTGTGGCTTCTAGCTCTTTGCTTTGAGTACCTTTGTTGTGGCAGAAAAAAAAAAAAATTGCAAATATGTCAAAGTCTGCAACTAATTGAGACCAATAACTTTCTCCTCATTTCAGAAGATTAAAGGTTTTCAGATCCTCAAAACACAAAAGAAATTCTTAACAGACATTAAACAAAAGACAAAAAAAGAAAATCAGAAAGCTTTTAGAACATTTTTCCAGCCAGGTCTACCATTTCACTGCAACCATTTTAAAAACTTATTTTAAAAAATTTAGGGAGTATGGTGACTCGGTAGGGTAAGCACTGGACTACAAGCTACAAAGGTCATCGGTTTGAGCACACCAGCTGCTAAACGGGGGAAAGATGAGTCTTCATGCTCTGCAAAGATTTACAGCCTTAGAAACCCTATATAGTCATGGAGGTCACTATGAGGCGGAACCAACTCGATGGCACTTAATAATAACATTTTAAAATTTATTTATTTGTTCCAATGATCCAGAAATTTAATCATCATGATTCTGAGGGTGAGCTAGTGTGTTTCCATTTTGGAAAAGTAGATGAGGGAGAAAAAAACTAAACAGTGGTACTGTATTATACTGCAATATTAAAGGTACTAATGCCTTTCAAAGTCATTTTTACTTATTTTTTTATAATCATCTGTGATATAAACATCTGCTTGCATTCTGTGGATTCACTTGCAAACATAATGATATTTGATTTATTAGGCCAATGCACTATTTGTTTTATGAACATCAAAAGAGACAGAACAGACTAAGTATGAATGAAATTAATTAAGCAAGAATGTACTCATTAAAAAGCTTAACATAGAAAACAGCATACCCCAAAACATATGTAAGTTTAACATTCAATAAATAGTTTACAGACAAAACTATGCATACTCTTTTACTTTTACACTGAACAAAGACTGATGAAGCTGGTTTTAACATACAAAGCTAAATTATTTATGTTAGAAGTTAAACGTCCTTAACCACCAATGTGTATCATATTAAAAAGTTCCAACCAACCTTCTGAGCCAGCTGATTTACCCAGTGTGAGGTGCAGTTGCTAAGATCAGGGCCCTTAGGGTTCCATGTTCCAGTGGAAACCATGCAGAGATATGAGGCAGTTCCTACAACAGATGTAGAAAACAACAGTGAAATTGAAATCATTTTTCTGCCTGTATTTGGGAAATCAGCTATGATGATCCTGCTCTGTGTGTTAAATTTTGAATAAACGCTAATGGGAGAAGTTGACAATAACTGACAAAATGTAGGGTATAATGCGGATTATGAACAGTAAATATAAAGTTAGCATATAAGTATCAGACATTTAGAGCAGACAAACAAAAAGCCCTGATTTTCCTGGGACACATCCAGAGTGAAGCTTGTAATGCGAAAGGCAGCTGTTAAGGAAGCCTCACTACAGTCCTTAGGCAAAAACCTCAGGTTTGACCTAGGTCTTAAAGAGAGAAGGGTAATTGTGTGCCTGATCTTAAATAATTTGTATACTTAAGAATCCTTTATGGTGTCTACAAATGCTATGTTACCAAAGTGCAAAAATAGCCACTATAAATTTAAAGTGGCAAAGTTAGTCACTGAAGACCAGGGAGCAGGTTGATTGATGATGCATGGAGGGGAATGTAACCATGGCAATGTAATGATAAATACAAAGCTAATGTTCTCCCATGTAAACTATCACACAATTCACAATAAAACATTAAAAAAAAAAAAAAAAGTCACTGTAGATTTCTCTCTATCTGCCCCCCCCCCACACACACACATCACTGTACTGTAGTTCAGAACCTAATTACTAAAGTTATAAGTGTTTATGTGATTGTTTACAGTAAATACCTCTTGTTCCCTTGGGACATGGTCGTTCAACCATCATTCCCCTTTGTGTCTGAGGCCACCATATTCCCCTCGCTTCTAACGCTTCGCAGAATCTCTCTGGCAGGGGAAAAATATTTGTTACAGGAGGAATTTTGGTTGTAGAAACTGCTGGAGGTGGTTTTGTCCCTTTGTTTCCTTCCTGTGATCCAGCTACAGTTGTGCTCATAGGGCCTTTCTGTGAAGTAGTGCTTGTGGTTGATACTGTGGTTTTGAACAGCTCAGCTGAAGAAGTTATTGTCACAGCTGTGGTAGGCACTATGGAAAAAAGATGAGCATATTAATCTCAGACACGCACTCACACACACAGGTGCGCGCATGTGAATGTGCACACGCACACATATAACTATGCTAAAATCACTAAGATGAGAATTACTGAGAGTATCAGTAGGGTGAGAAGATGAAATCTCTTTATTTATTGCCATTTATTTGTATCACTGGCAAAAAGATGGTAGTGTAGCCTTTACCACAGTTGTTTGTTCTGAGTGTGTTAGATTTACTTCTTAATGTAGTACCTGATGATACAGTTTAAACATAATTTCATCACATACTGAGTAACAGGAAATAAAGGAAAGTTTTACAATTTCATTGTATATAACTACAATTTGGGAAAAATCTATCCTTATTTAAATTCATACTCTATACATAAATTTAAACTGTCAACAAAAGTTGACTTTTGTCATTGTTTGTTGTTGTTGTTAAGTGCCGTTGAGTCGGTTCAGACTTACAGCGACCCTGTATACAGTTTCCAAGGAGCGGATGATGAGCGTGAACCACCAATCTTGTACTTCAAACCCACTTTGCAGTCCAGCACATTAACCCACAGCACCACAGTATTGTCATTAGGGCAACATAAAACTTGAAGTCACCTTGCAGGAAAATAAATACTTTTTACTCCACAGAAGTTTTACTTGAGAGATATTTTAGTATGCCTGATTAGATCCAAGTAGAAGATAAGCTTGGCATGCATGTGCTATAAATATCACGGGCTATACCTTTACTTTTGAAAATGTTTGTGGTTGTCATTAAGTGCTGTTGAGTCAGTTTTGACTCATAGCAACCCTGTATAGGGTTTCCAAGGAGCAGCTAGTGGGTTTGAACTGCCGACCTTGTGGTTGGCAATCCAGTGTTTATCCTATAATGCTACACCAGGACTGCTTAGAAAATATGTTATTGTTATTAGGTGCCGTCGAGGTGTTCTTGTATAGCGTTCCTGTATAGGGTTTCTAAGGAGTGGCTGGTGAGTTTGAACCATCAATCTTGCAATCGACCTTGTGGTTGAGTGCTTATCCTACAGTGCCGGGTATGAAGAAACTAGATCCCGATAATGGACTAGATCAAACCACATTTAATACTAGGTCAAGAGTACCTACTTTTCTGACCCCTAACAGAGCATATAGGTGTGGTGCTGTGGGCTAATGCGCTGGACTGCAAAGTCGTTTGAACTGCAAGGTCAGCGGTTCAAGCTCACCAGTCGTTCCTTGGAAACCCAATGGGTTTAGCCATTGGAACTGACTCAATGGCACTTAACTACAACAAACAGAGCATATAAAAGGTACTCATGTTGTCTAGTCAGTTCCCACTCATAGCGACCCTGTATTTCTGAGAAGTGGATGATGAATTTGAACCACCGACCTTACAGTTCTAAGTGACTTTACAATCCAGTGCTTATCCTATAGCACCACACCAAGAGTCCTATTATACATTTAACCCTTTAAACACTCAATTATTTTCCCCTTGGAATTTTTTGTTGATATTATTATGTGTTTTCCGTCATGGAAGTCATACTTAATCAAGGAACATTTCTAAAACTTTGTTATGAAATAAGAATTTCAATATATATTATGTAGGACACACATGGCCCTCTGGAGTCCGGGTGGTAAACTGATGTGGGATGCATATGTCTCTCTCAATTTATATGTGCTTCTAGATCCTGCACTGTCTTCTAGATCCCTTGATTGTTATTGCTAAGTGCCGTTAAGTCCGTTCCGATGCACAGCAATCCAGTATAGGGTTTCCAAGGAGCAGCTGATGGGCTTGAACCTTCAATCTTTTGGTTCACAGTCCAGTGCAGATTCTACAGCACCAAACTAGGAGTCCTTGATAGGTGAATACAATTTAGGTCATGGCACTTAACAACAGCAACAACAAAAATGCAGTATTCCCCCAAAATATGGGATCATCACAAGAAAAGCAATTCTAAGTAACATAAAGAAACCCAGAAATATATTCACAGGGCTTATCTCCCAGTAAAAATGCCAAGAGAGATGAAGGATTTTTACAAAAATTGCATCTTCAGGACGCATAACCTCACAAAAATATTAATTTATGGCACATACTCATTTTTCATCATTTCAGTTATACAGTCCCCTGATGGCTCAAGACGCTGTCAATGGGAAAGCTGCTACCCAATAAATCCCAGAGGAGGAAAGTGTAGGTGCTCATTAAAGGGGTAGGAGTGGAATGTCTTTTTCTTTAAATAGTTTTGTCTTCCAAATTATTCTCAGGAAAAGACTAGTAGGTTAAAAATATAATAATCAATTGTTTTCTTCTTTAACTATTTTTTAATTTGTTGAAGCAAAAAACTGTATCAGGACAAATTTAGTGTTATCATTTCAAGTCTGTAATATGTTTTTAAAGAGTAGTTTGTTACTGTTAAATGCTGACAAGTTGATTTTGACAGTATAAGGTTTCCGAGGAATAGCTGGTAGGTTTGAACCGCCAACGGTTAGCAGTCCAATGCTTATCCAATCATGCCACACCAGGACTCCTTAAAAGAGTAGAGTAAGCTGTAAAAATATTAGCTATTTTACAAATAACCATTAACTTATTGTATGCTTTGTCTACAAGTGAGAAACACACTAAAGGTGCAAATAAACTTCAGATTATCAGAGCTATGGTTAGTATTTTAAGCTGTAAACCATACACATTTGTTCATATAATCCTGACCCTTTTAACAGATTTTATGAACGTATCAGAAAATTATAATGTGTACTTTTTCCTAGTTTTATAATAGTGACTTAAACTTATCAGTATATGTACTTACACACTTTTTACCTTACTCCTCCCCATCCTTCTATCTCATGAGAAACTTCTTAAGCATGTGTTTTATTTCCAGGGCATAATTTATTGACCATATGAGAGATGCTTATGTACATTAGTCAAACTTCATGCCTAGCCAGCTGCTGCAGAAACCTATTCAAACCTGCCTATCTTTTTCTGCAAAGCACTTGCCTGACATCTTGTTAAACCTCTGTAATTTTCTTTTGATTACAATGCAGCCAGGCTTTCAGTGCTTTCTCAATTAACATTTGTCAAAAGCATCACAATCTTTTGTGGAAGTGTCAAATAACTGCTGCTGAATCAAGTTTTCAAAGGGAGTAGGGAATCAGCAAAAAGACAGAAAATGAAAAGGCAAAGTAAATGGCTCAAGTGCTATACCATCTTATGTATTCCTTGACACGGTGCTAAACAGTACATACACATAGTCATGTACCTGAAATACACAGTAACCATACTGTAATTAGTTATTTGTTAGCTATGCATCAGTAAACACTCAGAACAGCTGACCCAAGTAGATAATACTATTTATCTCTATTAAGTGCATAAAGTTTTATGCAACATTCTATAGCTATGTTCCATGTGTTCTTGGTAATATCTTTGCCTACCTTTTCACATTTTGACCAGCAAAAGAAGTTTATAAAAGGAATTAATTACTATTTTCTTCAGTAGTAAAGCAGTGAAACTTTGGGATAGTATGAAAGTAAACAAAAAAGTACACTTTAAGTGGCAAAATTCAATGCTTTGGGGGGATCATCTACAATTTCTTAGACATTGCAAGATTACAGTTAAACAAGATAAAGGAAGTGATTCATCCAGTGGTGAAGCTAGATATGTAGAAGGATTTGAGAAAAGATTATCTCTTTCCTCACTGGTAAGAACAAGTCCCAAATAGAGCATCTGGTTAGGAGAGTAGCTCACGCTTTACGCAGTACTTATGTGTTAAGTAATGTGCTAATCACCATTCCAGTACCATCACACTGAATTCTTACCACAAACCCATGAAGTAAGGACTATGTTTATCTTCCTTTCACAGTTGAGGACAAGGAGTCACAGGGAAGTTAAGTTCCACATCACTTGTCCACATCCTGAAGTGCTGTGATTTACTTTTCTAGGTTTTCATAAACTGGAAAATTATGGAATCCCTCTTGTTGTTGTTAAGAGTCATCAAATCGATTCCAACTCAGAGGGACCCTGTATAGGGTTTCTGAGGAGAGGCTGGTGGGTTTGAACTGTCAATCTTCCAGTTAGCAGTTCAGTGTTTATCCTACAGCACCACACCACGACACCAGAATCTCTCTTACTTGCTGTTAATCGGAGCATATTAACTGACACTGTGCTCTGTTTGAATCTCTGTAAGATAAGATGTAGGAACAGAAACATAACCTAAGATACTACAGCAATATCAGTAAAAGTTTCATAATGAAATTTGATTGGAAAAAGGTTCAAAAGAATATCCTATGATTGATATTAGAAAGCATGACAACTCATACTACAATAAATACAATTCTATCTAAATCCTATTTTACAGCTCTTTCCTAAAGTTATCAAGCATCCAGATTAACTGACTTGTAGTTCTGCCTATCATTTTTCATTTTTGAGTTAGGATCCATAGATAGTGGTAATAGCACATTTATAGGATGCCTAGGAAGATTCTAACAAACAAGCAGAATGGTTAATTTACTATTGGAGTGTTTAATAAGAACTTTCTATTTGTTACTATTATTTTCTTGCATAGGAAGATTTGAGGACAATATCAATTTATATTAAGGGTAATTTTCCCTCATTCAGTTCAGAGACATTAACTCTTTATTGACTGCATTATTTACATCCCTAGAGGGAATCTGTAGTCCAATAAAGCAAAAATGAACATTCATTCAGTTTACCCTTAATTCAATGTCCAAAAAAATTATCATCTTTTATTGAGTTTTCATTATTAGGGAAACAATGCTTCAGGAATATGCATTTAATGCTAAACAGTTCCTAAATGAATAAACACAACTGGCTTTCTTACTAAACGTTTTTCTGACTATTACTTCATAATTAGCCTAAGATAAATATTCAGGCACTGACAAACTCCAAGTAATGGTACAACATTTTATCATAATATTGGAGATATCAAATTTTAAAGAGATTAAATAAATCTAAAGTGAATCAGAGTAAGACAACAGAAATAGTTAAAATAGAACTGAATAGGGTTTTTTTTCCCCCTTAAATTCCCTACATGAGGGAGAAGGCAAAAGAGGAAAAACAGATCTACTTTAGGGGAAAAGAGTAACTGAACGAGGCAGAGACCACATAAGTCTAAAAATTCAAAGAAAAAAAAAGGATATATTTGAAAACTATTATCAGAACACTGAAATAATATGCTTGTGCTGTTAGGAATGAAAAGGCTTAGACTTATAAATGGAGAAAAGTATTGAAGCTAACACACTGTGAAACAGTCCACAATGAGAGATAAAAGGAATGGATAATTTTACAGCACAATTTATGCCTTGGCCATATACACAGTAGGCAAACCAGTATATAAGACTTCAACTGTGAATTCCAGCCAAAGCAGTCGATCAGTATTTAAGACAAGCAAGACCTGATTTCTTTGATTGCTTAGTACCAACATTTTCTGGATTTTGCTTCTGAAAACCTGACAGTGGCTTACTGGTGTGAATTTAATTTGTGGACCAGAGACCCCCACATGCATACTACATCAGCATACAACTATGGATGAAAGAGACAGAAGTTTCTAAAAGCATATGAAGATAAATTATAAGGAGGTAGCAAGCAGGAAAATAAGTGTTAAACACCAGCAAGAGAAATTCAGGCCAGAAAAAACAAACAAACAAACAACTTTATCACCAAAGGTTAAACAAGAAATGAAGAGGAATTTTCACTTTCTATAAAGATGTAAGAACAGCTAACTACTTGTGATGACAATCCAGTTATAGAAACTAACTTATACATGTCTACATTCTCATTTTCAAGGCTGCTAGTTGCTCTTTCCAAGAAGCATCTAAATTACCAAGGATTTTTCTATCTGAGATGGATCAAATTATTTACTAGAATACAATAAGCCAAATTTAGGAGACCTGGTGGCGTAGTGGGTTACTTGATGGGCTGCTAACTGCAAGGTTAGCAGTTTGATTCTACCAGCTGCTTGGCAGGAGAAACATGAGGCTTTCTTCTCCCATTAAGATTCAAAGCCTTGGAAACCCAAAACAGGGTCACTAGGAGTCTAAACACACTCGACAGTACACCACCACCATTACTTACTGTTAAGCCACATACGGAAAAATGATGCTATTTCTCATCTTTATATTCACCAAAGAAGTTGTCACAAGTAGATGGGCAATTATTGTTTGTTGACTTAAACCTTAACTTTATTCACAATTCTGTTGCCCAAGTATGATTTGTAAATTTCAATACATTTCTTTCTAACTTTTTCCCCTGTAGTTTTAGGCAAAGAAGAAATTTACTACCACTCAAGACAAGTATGAAGTCCTGGTGTGGTGCTTTAGGATACAAGGTTTGTAGTTCAAATCCACTAGCCACTCCTCGGAAACCCTGTACAGGGTCGCTAACAGTCAGAATGGACTCGATAGCACTTAACAATGAGGTAAGTGTAACAGCTCTGCCAGGGGAGCACACGTCATAAATAAGGTTAATAACGAGGGTCTGTGTAATGTAGTACTTGTTCATACTTGCATTTTTGACTCACATATAGGATAAAGGGAAAACACGGCATTAACTTTTAGGAAAACAATTTAAAAACATGAAACATCTCAAATTGCTGGCTTTGAGAACAGTAACAAAAAAAGTATATCTTAAAAGAAGCCCAGATGGTACAATGGTTGAGCACTCAACTGCAAAAGTTCCTGGTTTAAACCAGGGGCAGGGAACCGTTTTTCTGCCAAAACTTATAACATCATTCATAGGCCACACAAAATTACCAATTTGAAAATTTGCTCACTAATTTGGTCAAATATTTAATTAACTCAACACTACATTGATGGCTATGGAGTCCTGGTGTGGTGCTATGGGTTAATTTACCAGACTGCAAAGCTGTTTGAACTACAAGGTCAGCGGTTCAAGCTCACCAGTTGCTCCTTGGAAACCCTACACAGGGTCGCTGTGAGTCGCAACCGACTCATTCAACCGACGAGTCACAAGCGACGGCATTCAACAACAACAACAACAAAGTGATGGCTGGAACTGCAGTTGCCTTGGCAGAGCCAGATCAAATTATTTCACCGGCCTAATAGGGCCTGCAGGTCAGATGTTCCCCACACTGGTTTAAACCCACCAGTCTGCTTCCGTAAAGAAACCTTAAAGGGCAGTTCTAATCAGTCCTACAGTTTGGTATGTGCATCAACTTGATGACCACAGTTTATTTTTGTTGTTGTTCCTTTAGTTTTTAAAAATTTTAAAGAAAGGATTCTAACTAAACCCATTGCTGTTGAGTTAATGTCAACTCATAACCACCTTAAAAGAGAAGACTAGAATTTCCCATATGGTTTCCAAGGCTTTATGGAAGCAGACTGTCACTTCTTTCTTCAAATCTTTACAAAAGCACACTGCCACATCCTTCTCCCCACTTCTACATAATGTCCCAAATTAGCATTCCAATTAGAAAAAGGGATGACTTCTGCTTTAGACATTTTGACCTTATGACAATACTTAGACTATATGTGTGGGACTATAGCTATGGTTGTGCTAGGTGTGTTAGTTTAATATAATAAGATATTAATTTCTCTTCCATCCTGTTTAAGAGATTGATTTGATCACTTCATAAGATTTGCTGGTCTCTGAATTTCTGAAGTAACTTAACAATTTAAAATCCTAATTAATTCATTAAATTTAAGTATTAATTCAGACCTTAAAAACACAAACACCATTCTTTAAAGAGAAAAGACTTGTAATTTGTGCAACCACTATAATAATATATTAGTAGGTTAATATTTTTATCATGAGTATCAGGTAGCCTTATTTTAATAAAGCATTCATTTAGGCTAAAATTGTTTCCAACAGGACTGCACTCACTTAATAAACCAAAACACATATTTCCAAAGACATAGCAATTACTTTCGAAAAGTAATGATCCTTTAAAAAGATACCTAAAATGAAGACAAATAGAAAATACTAAGAGGTCTGTCTTCCATAAATCATTGCTTTGGATCATTTAATGCTCAGTTCTTGTATGACAGTGAAGAGTCACAGAAATATTGACTTACAGCTGTCACTAATCATCAGGAAATAGCAATGTGCAATTTTATATGATGACATAGAAAAGATGTTAGAAGATTCCCTTTTCTACCCAGAGAACAGCTGCCAAAACTTCAGAACACTTATGCCTGGCATTGAACATCTAGCCTTCCAATTCTCTTGAGATTCCTAACACATCATTTCCTTTAACCACTGACGCCAAGAAGTTAAAAGGTCTGCACGTAGATTGTAATCAATTCAGAAGTCAGGTAGGAAAAACAAAGCTAACAGGTTTGTCACTGGTATGATATTTTTAATAACGAAAAACTAAACTAACAGTACCCCAAAACTTTTGATGATGACATTTTAATAAAGAAATTTATAAAAACAAAATGGACAAAAATAAGGCTAAAATAGAAAATATATGTGATCATCTGAATTGCTATAACATTGTTCTTTGTGCTTTAATTATGAAAAGGAGACGATCCTAATGGATTAAAATAAAAAAGTTAATAAGCCTTTTAAGCGTAATCTCTTCACAAAACTGAATAAGCATTAACAAGCAACATTCTTACCTTGGGCAGGATCAGGTGGACCAAACTCCAGAGAATATCGTAAAATGAAGTTATTGTTCCATACATAGAGTTGATTATCTCTTGGATTGTAATCCACTGCAGCAATATACTGGTACTGGTTGGGGAAGGGAACATCTACATATTCTCCTCGATTTAATCTGGTGTTGTAGATGTAATCGATTGTGTTCTTGCCAGTTTCACTTTCATTGTCTTGGTAAACTGACCTGACTACGTAGAGGACTCCACATATCATAAAAGCATTTGATGCAGCACGCTTGTCATATACTGTCTCCCATGTTGCTTCAAATCGAAGAGTATATGGATTCAGTTGGCTAATAACTATCATTCCATTGTTCTGCTCAGTAGCATAAATGACCCATAAACCATTTTCATCAACTGCTAGGTCGATATCAGTCTTACCTCCCCATCTATATGGCGAGGTATCATGGTAATTGGCATAGTTAATTATGGCCTCACCACTCTTAATTCTAGTCCTCAAATCAAATTTCACAATATTCCTTGTTCTTTCTTTGTTGAAGAAGACAGCACCATCATATACCACAAATCCAGTGCCATCTACTCGATTTGGAAGTTTGTATGTTGTTGTTTGGCGGCTGTTTTGGAAATCTTCTAAAGAAGCATACTCTATCAAAGTATCAGTGCGGTAGGGAGTCCAGGGCATGAAATAAATTTTATCTGCAGCCTGAAGAGGGTCCTTGCACCAAGCACCTGCCTTTTGTTCAGCTTCATATATACAAGGCGAGTCCACAATTGCTTTCAAGGTCCCAGGACACACAAAAACTAACAGTCACAGAGAAAAGACAAGAATTAAGCCAAGTTAAAAATTGTATCAGGAAACATAAATTTTAATGTTCATAAATAAAAAAGATAAATGAACTTTATTAACACCCAATCATACCAAAATTTCAACTTAATCTAAGTACTACCCTTCTTGCTTGAAGTTAAATTAATCAATGTACCAGCGTACAACAAAGTGGCCAGGGTTTATTTTCTCAAATACATAAGGTTTAAGATCACTCATAACTGAACTGACAATTTAAGTGTTTTGCTGAGTATTTTAATCTTCTAATTTGGTATTTTATACTTTAAAACATTGAACATATATTTAACACTGTACAAAGTATTTTACTTTAGTCCAAATATCATATCCTCTCCCAACCCTCTTTTAAACTCCCAAAACAAAACAAAACAAAACAAAACAAAATAAAGCAGATAGAAAAAAACACAATGTGAATGCTTACTTAGAACTTTTAAACAAGTTAGACTAACAACAAAGGTGTTTCATTTTAAAGAACATAAATACTCGGAAAATGCAACTAGAAGCAGGGAAAAGTAAATACAAGGAAAGCAGTGGATGAAACGACCAGGAAACGCTGTAACCATGGCATGCTATGGAGAGGGTTCTGGAAGCCAGGCAAGATGACAAGTGAATAAGAAGAAAATACCCAAGGGTGTCAGAAAAAGAGTCAAAGGGTGAAAAAAGAACAGAGAAAGGAAACCAACCCCTCCTCGCAGACTTCAGAATGTATACCCCATCATCAGATTTAGCACTCAAATAATTTCATTGTAACAGTCGACTTCTTTATGAGATCCTGTTGATTATTTTAATATCAGAAGTGTTGTGAGGGAAGGGAAGGGAGGAGGTTAAGAAGGTTAACATCCATAAGGCACATAACAAGGAGCTGGGGTTTTGGCTGTGTACGTTATTTACCTTTTTGCTCCACTTCTATTTTAAGCATTGGAAGAAAACATAAAAAAACAGGTACAAGGAAAAAAGAAAAAAGATTAAAATAAATTGATTATTAGACTAAGACTGAATTCGTTAACAGACGCTAAATATAGAAGAGTAAGAGCTGCACTACTTTGGATAAAGAGAAACACACAACAGGAAAACCTAGCAGGAGAAAGATTCTAAAGTTACATAAAAGAACATGGATCAATCATTTCAGTAGATTAAGGAGGCAATACAAATATGTTGCCATGTTGCTTCACTTAGTGTACCTGAATAAATAATGAAACTCTTTACTAATGCATGGTATACATATTCTTGCCTTTCTGAAATCACTCAGCATTCTTACCAAGTTTTACTTAATATATGTATGCTATAGACATAGATGCATGCATAGGTGTACCATCTCCATTTATCATATGTGCCATTATTAAACTTACTAAAATTAGGTAAGCATAACAACAGGAAAATACAATTTCTAAAAGTCACAATTAAATTTTAGAGCTGAGGTTAATTAATAAATATTGATATGATCACATTTCCCCAAGATATTTTGTTGGAGGAAATACATAACTAGGCATATCAATATACACTTCAATTGCTTTTCTATTAACTTTTATTTCTAGAATAATGCATCTGAAACATTTTTTAAATGCCTCCTTTTCAGAAATATATAAATCTCCACATACCCCAATAAGAATTTTGATAGGGTGGGGTAGGGAAATGGCTTTTCTCTTCACTAAAAATAATTTTAATTATTTAAGTCTGTATATACTTTATCTTATAAAATTATTTTATCTCAAACATTATTACTAAGTCTATATAAAAAAGTAAGCATAATACATACAAGGGAAAAGCAAGCACAGTAGGCAAGGAAAAAAAGGGAGAAAGAATTATGGTTAGCTCATTATGACATTTTCTACCATCATCAATTTACACAGAAAGCAAGCTTGCATGCAAAGACAATCATACATACTGAGCATTCAAAGCAAATACCTCACCCTCACCTCCACAGACCCCATTAAAAGGTAAATGCTTTCATAAAATGAACCTGATTAGTAAGGTTAAATGACCCTCCCTCCAAAACAACAACAACAAAACAATCCCTTCTCCAATAAGTTTAAAGAATATATAGTTATAGGAAAACCCATTGCTGTGGAGTTGATTCCAACTTTTAGTGACCCCATAGGATAGCGTGGAACTGCCCTAGGGTGTCCAAGCCTATCATCTTTATAGAAGCAGACTGCCACATCTTTCTTCCAGGAAGTGGCTGATGGGCTTGAACCACCAGCCTTCAGGTTAGCAACTGAACTCTTAAATGCTGTACCACCAAGGTTCCTTAGTTATAGGAAGGGTTCTATGTATGGATTTTGCCAATGAATAATTTTCTAACTACTACAAACTTAAAATATTATTTTAGATAGTCTGTAGACTTTGAAGTATGTTGCCTGGATTTCATAAAGTATTCAGATTAATGTCTGTGAATCTCTCTCTTTCCTTATTAAAATGAATCAGGATGTGCTAACACTACATCTCCAAACTGATTACTCCAAGACACTGTAGTTGCACATTTCATTAAGATGTCTTAGCTTGATGAATTTTTTTAAATTGCAATAATTCATCAAGATTTAACTATGACCTGAAACAACTATAGGAGAAAAGTATACAAATATTTTTGCCATAGTAATAGTATATAACCTTTCACATTGAGGCAACACCTTCTTGTTCCAACTGGGTCTATTTAACCACTTTCAGAAAACATATTTCTTCCTAAAAATGTGTGATTCTGACTTTATCCTAGTAAACAGAAGCGATTCGGTATTATTGACCTGGAGACAGTACTTTTTTATAAACCACTAGTCCTAAAATGGTCCTTCGGTGAAGAGCAATATTATACCTGCTTAAAATGAATAACGGAAAGGCATGATGGGAAAATCAGAATAAGATAAATCATTAGTGGGGTGACTGCTCAGACTACATTTGTATACAGCTATGTGCTTTTTAGGAATGGATGGATGGTTTTACTGAAATAATACATTTTAAATATGTTCAATATTAAAAATAGAACTCAAAACAAGTTTGATAAAGGACGTAGAAAGTATATTTTATGTTTTCCTTTAATTGAAAATGGCTGGATTTTATTATTTGAAACACTGAGATGACAGTGTAGTTGCTGAGGAAAGTATTAAATGCAGAAGGCTCCATTGTTTTGTGGTTTAACTGATACCAATTATATCAAAGGAAAAGAACACACAGAAGAAATATATATAATTTAAGAGTAGGATGAAAGTTGACAAGTAACACCTACACATAAAACTAATAAAAAAAAGCCTTTTGCTGTTTGATGAATCAAATAAGATATGAATTTTTAAATGAAAGAAAAACAGACATCCCCCACATAATGATTTTATGAGAATCCAAGGAACAGGTATCTGTCAAATTAACTTTGTAAGACCCTTTAGAAAGTTTATCAACCCACATGAACATAAAGAAACAATAAAATTAATGAAATAAGCATTCTCTACCACATGCTCAGTATATGTATATATATATATATAAAGTAACTTGTCTGAAAGGACTATGAATTAACTCATAAAAATACATTTACTCTTCTGTACACCAAACACAAAAATATGACCCCATCAACATTAGTGTAGGACTACAGGGATATGTAAGACAAGAAACTGACTGAAACAAACAAAAGCCTAAATTCTCTGTATCTGAAGTGACACACTATTTCATTTTGAATAATTTCACTGGCTTATTAGTATTAATAATAATTGAATCAGTAATAGTCATTTTTGGTTTTCTCATGAAATAAAATTTATAGTTAAAATTCAGTTATAATCAATTAATGATCATTTGAAATGAGAGCGCAACAAAAAGCAAAACTAAATCCTGCCTGTACTGTGTAAAATTCCAGTCTGATTAATTCCCTTTATTCTCCAAGGTCTTTATGACTCATTAAGATCACTTGCAAATGCACATACATCCAACTCCTAACATTTAGTTAGTGACAAAGGATATCCTACATAAATACATTTTGGATATAAACATTACCTAGCTAAGTATTTATATATAAATATACTAAGCAAAGCAATTAACAGGATTTGTAATGATTTCTGTGGAGCAGAATTTACTGTAAAAATGTAACAAATCCAATTATATTAAGAATACAAGAAACAATGTGGAATGGATAAAACTCCTGGAAGAAACTGGCATCAAAACAAGTGGGAAGAAAGACTTAATAAATGTTATCTGATGATGACAATTTGACAATTTTCATCAACTGAATAAAAGTAGAAATGGTATACAAATGTCACAAAGTATGCAATAACAATTAAAATAAAAGCTAGAGATTTAAAGTAAGTGTGTGGGATGAGCATAATGGACTAAAGAATAAAGGGGGAAAAGGAAGCGAACAGATACAGAAATACATGGTCCTCTTTTGGATTCAAAAATATCATCTGCATTAAATTTTTTAATTAATAAATGTAATTTATAGTGTGCCACTACTGTACAGCATACAGGTATTATAATTTATTGTGTTCTTTAAAAAGGAATGGGGGGAGAAATAAATCCATAGACTTATTTTGGCTCGTGCACACATCTAGAAAGATAACAGAAAATTAATTGCTGTTGGTTTATTTGTTGTTGTTTTTTTTGAAAGGACAGAAACTAAAAAGAACAGATACTTCTCCAAGTATAGCTATTTGAAAGTTTAATATGCATCATACAACACTTCTGGAGAACTGAAAAAGTAAAATTTTGAAAAGTTAGATGTTCTAGAAGACATCCACAATTTTCCTTTCATAAACAGCACAAGAAATTTTAAGAGTCAACAAATAGAATTTTCTTAATACTGTTATTAGTCCTAAGACTAGGTTACAGGAACTGGCTCCAAAAAGACACAATTCATGGCAGCTCTGACTGATTCCACTGTTTGGAAATGGATTCTGTATTCCTTTTCCAATTTGAGGGCAGAAATCAAGCTAAATTCAAGCGAAAGTGACTTTATGGAATAAAATAATTTTGGTTAGCTCAAAACAATACAATGCTCCTCTAGTGGCATGGGAGGGTGGTTATCTAAGTCATCAGCACGATACATAGGAGAAACGATATCAAGATCAGTGCACTCAGTAGGCTTCCAATCCTACAAGTGGTATAGGAAAAATAAAAATAAAAAACTGAAAACATAAAGGCATCCATTTCACAGCAATACAGGAACACAGAGCAGGGATGAAAAGAAAGATAATCTGTGTTTGGCCTTTATCTGATACTCCGACAAAAGCCAATTTGTACAATTGTAACAGACAGAAGGGAAAAGAGAGAGTGCCTTCATGGTAGGTGTAAGAATATTTTACTACCTTGTTGGACATACCACACCTGAATTTGGCCTTTGGTTTTACAAATATCGTTAACTGTCTATAGTTTAGAATCTATCAGAACTTCGTGATCAAGTTTTTGAGATTATAAAAGGGACACAAGAACTATTTCAAATCAGTAAAACTGCTAAGTAACTTTTATTGTAAAAGCCTGTGAGCTAAGTGGCATGACAGGAACTTAAAAAAAGACGAAAGCAAGAGCATGAAAACACTTTGGTTTTTTAAATAAACAGTTAAAACCTTTAAGGGTATCTATAAATTGTAATTTTCTCCTGAGATCAGAACAAAATGTAATTTAAAGTATAAATTCTGAGATTAGAAGTAAAACCACATAAAATAAGAACATTTGAGGAAGCCTACTTATAAAAACTTTAACAGGATTTCAAATATCCTTCTGTAGGATCTTATTTAAAATGAGGCTACAAAACATTAAAAGTAGAAATATGTGTAAGGTTATGCTATAGCTATCTAGTTTATGTAGAGTTAAGATGTCAACACTGGATCTGGTAAAGAAACGCTCCTTAACTGCAATGGAACAAAAAGGAGAGCACTTTGCCTCAGTTACTTCGAAGGTAGCTTTTACCAGGCACTAAACAGCAGGTAGCCATTCAAGTAGCTCACGATGAAAACTGAAGTCAATTCCTTCTTTAGAAAACTGTGAGCCAAACCAATTTGTCAGCAACTGGTATTGGGCAAAAGTACAGATTTCTATCTGGCCTATTGAATAGCTAATTCAAGTTTGTTTTCTGGAAAAACACTAGCCTTAAAAGCCAAACACTTAAGAACACAGACAGACACTTGGCCAGCATCACATTATGGCTTCCTTCCACACTTCATGAAGCTAATTGGAGGCCCGAGTCTGTTAGTGCTCTGCATGCATAATGGTTTTGTAGGCCATAAACATATGCTTCTTTCACATGTGTAGTTTCCCAGCATCAACAAGGAATGCTGGAGAAAGTGAAAAATAAAAATGTCATACTTACTATAAGGGACACATTCATATTGGACTTCAAGGTATTTGTATGTTCCAGGACATGGGTCAGGAAATACATCTGACCCAGTAACTACGATACACTGTGTTCGATTGTTGCACCTGCAAAACAAAATGAATCAAGCTTGTGTAAAATTATTTTACTGGATTATTTTAGATAAAGAAAGATACAACAGATTTATATGTTCTTCAAGTGATTAGGACCATAAAACATTACAATATTCAATTTTTCTACATTCCTAAGAGTTACAAAACTCATATTTTCTTTGTTGTAATATTTCTATGTTTTGAATCAAACTAAATTTTTACATAAGGTAAAAAGAAAATACCTAACTGTTCTCTATTACTCTACTATTAGTTCTAATTTGAATTTTTAATATATTCAATAGAACTGGAAAAGGGGAGTGAGTATGATGTATCCACCTTACCAGGATATTTTCTGGCATACTTCAGAATTAAAATTATAATAACAAACCATGGTATGGTCTACATAAAGGACAGAATGTACTTCAAGCATCTGGCTCGTATTGACTGGTTAAAGTTCTCGGCTGCTAACCGAAAGATCAGCTGTTTGAATCCATCAACCGCTTCTCAGGAGAAAGATGAGGCATTCTCCTTCCATAAATATTTATAATCTTGGAAACCCTAAGGTTTCCTAATATCGATATTAGTTCTATCGGTACTCTAGAGTTGCTACAGTTGGAATGAACTCAACAGCAGTGGATTTATTTTATTTTATTTTTTTTGTCTTTTTTCCCAAGCATTATAATTAATATTGTTAGTCCATACTGTACAACTAGGTTCTTCTAAACATTTTCCAACCTACTCAGGGCAACCCATGTGTATGAGTAGAACTGTGCTCTACAATATTTTCAATGGCTTATTTTTTGGAAATAGGTCACCAAGCCTTTTGATCAGTAACCATGTCAATCACTTTCAACACCGAGGACTAGTCTTCTATATCATGCTGTTGTTAAATTATGTTAAGTTCATTCCAACTCAGCAACCCTTTATAGCATTTCAGAGGAGTGGCTGGTGGTTAGCAATACAGTGCTTATCCTACAGCACCATGGCAAAATAAGTATTCCTAAAAATACAACACTAAAAAGAACAAATCTAGCAAAATTCCTAGACTATTCTATTTACTTCTTTTTGTATTATCACAATTCATCATGATAATTCTATTAAGTTAGAATTCTAGGTAATATAATATTTATTAAAATCCTATGCATTTGTCCAGATGGTCTTTTTATTTCGTCTCTATTAATGTTAAACTTTATAAGGACAAGAAATATTTCCTTTATAATTTGATTTGATTACAACCCAATGGAGTGTAATATTTGCAGAATTTTTATTATGTTTTCTAATAAGTATATAAATTAAGAAGTCAAAGCAAGCAGAACAAGAACATTATAACAAAATTTATTTAGCAATTTGAATACCAGATATTCTAATGTGCATAATATAACTAAACTACAAAATGAAAATATAAAGGAAGAACAAGAAGCCCAGTTTCCAGAATAAACAGAAGGAGAATCATACTAAGGAGGGTTACAGGAATCCTAGTGTGGCACTGTAAGATAAGCTCTGGGCTCTTAACCTCAAGGCCGGCAGTTCAAACCCACCAGTTGCTCCTTGGAAACCCTATATAAAGTCACTATGAGGCAGCAGGACTGACTTGATGACACTTAACAAGAAAAATGTCACGCACTTTGGGGGCATTATGACATGACATCATGTCATGACTATGACATCAAAATCATGTTTATTTTCCTTTCAACAGCAATAAAACCTGGAAACTCCTGTAGAATTAAACATGTCTTACAGTTCAAAGCATAATACAATGAACTTCATAGGAGAATCTTAGATACTGAATAATTATAATCAGTATTGCTTATACAAATGCCCAATTGATGATACTTTTTATCACAAACAATTCATAATACGAGTCCTGGTATGGCACTGCAGGATAATGAGCTGGGTCACAAGGTCAGTTTGAACCTCAAAATTGGTGGTTCAAACCCACCAGCTACTCCTTGGAAAGCATAAAGAACATTTTAAAAGTAAGAATATTTTTGCAAGAAGTATAGAAAGAGATATAAGGTTTCCTGCTTCTATTTTTTTTTGTTTAAAATAAGACTAAGAACACCATAATATAAAAAAAACAAAACAAAACAAAAAAAACTGCTGACCATACTTACTATTTCTGAATAACTTTGTTAGTAATCTGACCACAATTACAAATTCAAATTAATGCTAAAGACAATTAATATAATTTATAAGAACCACATAACTTTTATTTCTTTTATCAATCACACAACATAAAAGCATTCCTTTAAGATGGCAAAGTATCAGTGTCAGAATTCAACTAAAGTTGAATTCAATAGAATTTAGCAGATAAAATCACTAAATTTCTAAAACTCATGGCCTTCCAAGCGGACCAAAAATGTTAATTAAACATTTGGAAATTTCCAATATATAACAGAATTACAGAAAAATGATCTTGAGAAATACTAGAATTTAAAAGTTAAAAACTGTCAGCAAAGATTAGCAGTATATGAAAACAACTGTAAACAGTATATTGGAGCTTCTTGTATCAGTATCATGATCCATGAAAGAATCCATGACTTTAGGAGATCAAATTATGGAAATAAAATACAGACTGTAAATTCCAAAATGAATGAAGAATCCTTAAATTTTCAAAGATGGAAAAAAGATGGAAAAGAAATACCCCAATGTAAGTTGTTAGTACTAAGAAAAATCTTTAACCAATACATTGCTGATAAGAGTTGTTGTTGTTGTGTAACACTAAAATGCTATCACTTTAAGAAAGGGGACATGAAAGCTTACTCAATCAAAGGAAATTCCCATCAATAGCTATGTTTCATGTTTTCATTCTAATGAAAAGGAAAATAATTCAACTAAGCCAAAAAAACTAAAACAAAAACAAAAAACCTGAAAAATGTGTATTCTCAGCTCTGGGCATTATACCTACTCTTTCCCCTACAAAAAACAATTGATTTAAGAATAAAATATCATTGGGTTAAAATTTAAAAGGCCAGATATACCTTGCAGATTCATTATGGCAATAATCTACACTTTTCTTAAATGTTTAGCATAAATTGTTGTTATTATGCGCCACCCAGTCAGTTCCGACACATAGCAACCCTCTATATGGTTTCTGCAGAGAAACTAGTGAGTATGAATCACTGACTTTATGGTTAGCAGTACAGTGGTGATCCTTCAGCACCAAACCAGAAGTTCCTAAACATAAGTATTGAATATGATTTTATTATAAAAAAGATAAAAGAGAAATATGTAGATGCTTAGCTATGATTGGAATATATTTTCATTAAAAAATGGGGATTCTAGACATACTTCAAACATCCTAGCTTTCAAGACTGATCTTACATTATTTAATATTTAAAAACATATCAATGAGTAAGAATAAGTTAATATATACAAATATAGATAATACATATAAAAAATTAACAATGAGTAAAGGTAAGTTTTCAATATGTAGTAAACGGCCCAGCAGCACAAGAATTAGCTGGGAACCTGTAGAAATGCATATTCACGAGTCAGACACACTATGTGAAAACTACACTACAAGTTTAAGAAGTCCAGGCAATTCTAATGTAATCAAAAGTATGACAATCACAGAGTTAAGACAGCTTTAAACGTTTTGATCAAGAATACAAGTATATGACAATACATGCTCTTATTCTATACATTTAAAAAACAGGTGATATAAAAAGTGACCAGTACAATTTATAAAGGAAACATATGATAAAGTTTATAATGTTAACATGATGTTTTATTCTAAGACTCAAGTGCTTTTGTTGCTTTAATGCTGAGCGAATGTGCATTTTCTAAATATTTCAAAAGCTGGAATTTAACACATGTAGAGGTAAAGTCAGATGTTATCCTGTGCTTTATTGACTATGCAAAAGCACTTGACTGGGTAGATCATAACAAACCATGAATACTATTGCGAAGAATGGGGATTCCAGAACAGTTCATTGTGCTCGTGTGAAACTTGCACATAGACTCAGAGGCAGCCATTTGAAGAGAACAAAGAAATACTGAATGTTCAGAACAAGTGTGCACCAGGACTGTATCCTTTCACCACACTTACTCAATCTGTATGCTGAACAACTAATCTGAGAACCTGGATTTTATGAAGGAGAATGTGACTGTGAAGAAGACTAACAACCTGTGATATGCAGATGATACAACATTACTTACTTGAATTGAAAAGCACATAAACTACATACTGATGAGGTTCAAAGACTACAGTCTACAGTATGGATCATACCTCAATGTGAGGAAACAAAAATCCTCAGAACTGAACAAATAACATCATGATAAACAGAGAAAAAACTGAAGTTGTTAAAAACTTCATTTCGCCTGGATCCACAATCAATACTCATGGAAGCAGCAGTCAAGAAATCAAAAGACGTATTAGTACATTAGGACAATATTCTGTAAAATATCTTTTTTAAACGTTAAAGAGCCAAGGTGTCACTCCGAGGACTAAGGTACACCTGTCCCAACCCATAGTATTATCAATTGCCTCATATGCATGTAAAAATTGAATGACAAATAAGAAAGAACACAGAATATGCAAACATTTGAATTATGGTATCAGCAGAGAATACTGAAAGTACCACAGAATGTCAGAAGGATAAATAAATCTGTGTTGGAACAACTACAGCCAGAACGCTCCTTAGAAACCAAGATGGCAAGTATTAGTCTCTAGTACTATGGACATGCTGTTAAGAGGGGTCAGTCCCTGGAGAAGAACATCAGGCTTTGAAAAGTGGAGGGTCAGAAAAAAGAGAATGGCCCCAACAAGATGGACTGGCACAGGGACAACATCAAGGGGCTCAAACATAACAAGTGGGGCAATTGTGCAGGAATGAGCAGTGTTTTATTATGTTGTGTATAGTATGAATTGGAACCAAGTCAATGGTTCCTAACAACAACTTTTTGTTGTTGTTATATATTTTTTTTTTAATAGAAAAAAGGGCTAGTCATTTTTTTTCACATGACTGTATAATAAACACTGAAAAATGCCATCTGTAAATTATTCCAAATAT